GAAGAGATGTTGAAAGATGACATTATTAAAGAAGCCGAGAGCCCACATAGTTCTCCAGTTCTATTAGTGCTATTAGAAAAGCGACGGGAAATACAGACTTTGTGTTGATTTCTTTTTGATAACAGCTTGATTCCACACCGTATTTTTGTCACAGGTATGGAATTTTCAGCATGTGATATCGGTGGCCCAAAGTTTGCAGGCCTACCATAGATATCGGGTGTGAGTCGGCAGGGGATCGAACCCCGGACCATGTGCATGGTTTGCGAGAGTCCTAACCACTGTGCCACCAACGCACACAAATACTTTATCCGAAGAGAAAGCTGAAAAAAATGAGGCAAGACTCATTGTATTGTGCGTGACCACGGAAATCTTTAGTAAGAGGAGAAAGATTTATTCGGTACAAGAGAGCTGAGACGATATGCAATGCCAAGCATAGCATAAAATTTAAATCACTTACAGAGTGCGATGCTGTTCACAGTCTTAGGTCTGCAGTCAGGGTAATGACAAGTGACAATAAAGCAAGGAGATAGGGATAAGGTGGCGTTCTTTTTGGGACAGAAACACTACCGGTTTAGACGCTTGTCTTTTGGATTGTCAGGTGACACGTTTACATTTAGACTATTAACGACGTTGCTGCTTAAGAGTTTGAGGAACGTCGAAGTTTATGGAGATGATCTATTGATATACAGTACGAGCGAGAGTGAACATGTAGAGCATGTAGACGCAGTTCTAAGACACATCGAAGCATTTGGTCTACGTATCAACAAGGCGAAATCTCAGACTGCTAAGAAGAAGCGGATGCATGGTATGGCCAATGTACCCGACTCAACACGAACAAGTGTGCTTGTATATGCATGTTGAAGTGGTGCAATACAAAAGCTTGTCTTTAACACGCTGGAGGAGTAGTAGTTTCCTGCAGGAGAATGTTACTCGTAAGCTGGCAGGCGACGAAGTGTATTTTACTGAGAGATTTCAAGAGTCGTCAACGGAGAAATTCTTTCTCACCCATTTACCCTATAGATACACGAATGTACAGCCTTGTTTAATGGTGACCTCGTCGAAAAGCAAAATTTTCATCTTTCGTCGCATTCGCCTTTTTAATACAACCATTATTCGCGAAATATACACATTAAGACATTGAAATAAGAACAAATTAGTTCAGCGAAGAGTCTATTTTCGGCGAATTCATTCACTTAGCTGTACAGTCGCAAATATATATACAATTATTTTGTGCGTGTGTGTGTACATTAGGTTTGTCAAAATCAAAATAACAGTTAGTGTGGTTTGTTGATTATATCATCAAAATAATTAAGAAATTAAAATGTGTGATTAATAATCAAAATTGTAACTAAGTGGGGTGAAGATTGGTAAGATGTGAGTAGGGTTACGTAATATAGACATGTTTAGAAAGATTAGATGTTAGTGAAGGAGTATGGAGACAATTATGAAAATAAACTAGATAATAGGTGAAAAGATTGAATGGGTTAGTTACTAAAAAATTGTTATACGAAAAATTGCAAAAAATTTGATAACAAAATGTTGATGACAGATAAACTTGAAATTAAACCCAAGGCAGTAGGAGGGGGTGGAGAAGTTTCTTCTGTGTGCATAACTCAGGCTTTTCTATCCAAATCGCTAAGGCTTCAGCAATACAAAGTATACGGAAGCTTGTCGATTTTGGTAGGCTTCTTTTGACTTTATAGATGACTTTGAACAACTTCTCCTTGCAAATCGAATGACTACTGTTGAGTATATGCTCAATAATGGCGCTCCTTATTGCTCCATTGTTACCTTTCCGTAGCCAGGCGGGATAGTGTTCTTGAACTCTTTTAGATAAAACACGCATCGAACGACCTATATACCTCGCTCCGCAAGAGCAGGTGAATTGGTAGATACACATGGAAGTGGTCAACCATTATTATGAATACAGTGAGGCGCTGGAACGAATTATTTGATAACAATTAATTCTGATAACGCCAAATAAGAAAAATCAAAGAAAAACAACCTCAGGCTTAAATTACTTGTATCCAGCCTTTTCTTGAAGCAATGCCAAATTCTCCTGGAATTCTCGACAGGCTTTAGTTTTATACAAACGCGTCAATTCACGGTATACGCATCCCCTTATCGATGAGATAAAGCAAAAATATGGAAGTGAGTAATTTTCACACTTTTAAGAAACATTTATTCACTAATTATGTAACAGCTTATATTGCGTGAATAAAAGAACTCAGACGAGTGTGTTTACTGCATCGCATTTTTTTCAATAATTTAATAATTCCCAATGTAGCATTAGAGGCAAAATATATTCAACGAAGAGACCCTTTTCAACAACGGATTTATTGGTTGGAGGATTTCATGCTGAGCACTGTAAGAGTCTGATTTCTCGACCTCTCGTGTTCCAGGAGATGAGGACGTGTTAGCGGATATTTTATCTAGAACAGAAGAGATAGAGTTACTTGAAATAGCATATGGTGTAAATGCCTTAGAGCAAGACCCAGCAAGACTTGTCTAGAGTCAAAGATTGGACGGCATCCTGCAAACTGTCATACAAGTGATAACCAACGCAAAAAGGGTGAATCGCCCCACAGCTAATCGTGAGTTAAATCTACTAATTAAACAAGAAGACCGGCTAAGCTTGAATGCCTGCGCAATATTGACGTGGCAGGAGGATAACGGAAGCTGCTTAGCAGTAATATCTCAATGCCTGAGCCAATAGATGATACGAGAATGTCACCAACTAGCGCATACAGGTGTTACCAGAACGAACGATCTCCTGCAACAAAGCAGGTACTGGACAGGTATGAGAGTAGACGTCGAACAGTACGTAACAGCGTATACGCAATGTCAGCTGGTGAAAGGTGACCAGTACATATGACCGTCACCGCAGTCGATTCCAGTGACATCAGCGGGTGACTTCTGGTCGTGGTAAACCACGATGTGCCGAAAGCGATACTGACAGATCAGGGTTCGTGTTTTGAAAGCAGAAAGTTTAAAGTTCGGTTGCAAGAGTAAGGTATCAAGAAAATTAGAACAACGCCATATCATCCACATAGGAACGGCTTGACGAAGAGAAATAACCGTACCCTGAAAGAGTGGCTGGCTACAAAGGGAAGTAACTAGGAGACACAGCTCCCATTGATTCTGCTAGCACATGGTGTACACGCCGAAGAAACGACGAAGAAATCACCTCAGTTGGTGTACTGGAGGAAACCACAACAAGACCTGGCCCCGCCAGCAGCAATGAAGTGTGACGAGAAGGCGGACGGAGAGAAAAGAAGCAATCAGCAACATAAAACGAAAGCAGAAGGTAGATGCTGTGAAATCCAAACAGAGAGTAAAGGGGAAGTACCCAGAATTCAAAATCGGAGATCAAGTTAAAAATACAGATAGGCGAGACACCGGCGGATACGCGTCAGCGTCACGAAAACTGTTGCCAAAGTGTTAAGCACCATACATGGTCACCGCGAGATGGGGTCACGTATATACCATCAAAATTATAAACAAAAAGAAGCAGGGAAACGTCAGCGAGTTCCAGAAATGGATGCAATGAGACAAGCAAACAATCACGCCAGCACCAAGATGATCAAGCTGACTTCAGGCTAAACTATTTAAATATGGGACGAGTTTGGTGATGTGATACAGACAGCAATGTGTGTTCCAACGGAATATTATTATCACATTTACTATTCCCACAGTTCAACAATGTGTTAGCAACAGAATACCAGATATGTATATTTGAACATTCTATTTCATGTCCTTTGATGTGAACCGAAATCACACGCTCATTCACTGGTTAAAGAATATAAACTGTACATATATATATATATATACAGCGGTTTGATCAATGAAAAATATACTTTGGCTTCCGTGTCTTGCCTTCTGTTGTTACAAAATTACTGCAGATGCCTTGTATTCTCTCTTAGTTATGTCATCATTATTAGTTTCACCATTATTTTTACTTTCTTCTTGATGTTTTCTGATCTTCCTAATGAATTTTATAGGATGGTTAGTTAGGATATTTAACACCAACCGGCCATTCTTCTTCTATTTGTTTCACTTCATCATTTTGGTCTTTTTTGTTGTACTAATCAGTAATGTTGTTGCTCGGTTGTTGTTAGATAGACACTTAAATCAGCCTTCCTTTACTCATGTATGTAATAAATGAAGCAAGAAAGTGAGTGGTGTGTGAGTGTGTGTGTGTTTTGATATGATTATGATTATGAGTAGTAGCAATGATAAACATTGTGCTGGAAGCGTGTGGTGGCATCATCAGTAAATATTACTGCATAACAAAACACCGTATGTGTGTGATTTTGTCAAAATGAGAATTTTATCTATAATTTAGTTATACTCTACCACCACGTTGCCAAAGTTTCATCCTCAAATCAACAATACTTCTCATTTTTGTAATGGTGTCAGCATTGAAACTGTCATCAAGATGGATATTCAGCAGTTCAAAATAAGACTGTTCACTTGAGAGAATAACTATATATATATATATATATATATATATATATATTAAAATTACAGTTGATTGCCACATGACATGTAAACAGTGACCTCGTATGCATTATTTAAAGACTTAAAAATAAAAATAATTCTGTGACCTGAAGATTTCTCCAACCCATCTGACTATCACAATCCCTTAACTATCTCACTTTTGCTCTTCAGTTTGTCAGCATTCCATTTCTCTGTGAACATGATTTCACTCCTCCAATCTAATTTTCTGAATGCTTAAATGTGCTTCAATAGAGATATCGAAATTGTGATGAGTAGAGAGGCATTTGAATTTCGCCAACCAATAAATTCATAAGGGTACAATAGTTTTTTTTGTTGTTGTGATTACTTTGTTTTAAATTCGGTTTGAGAAGAGTAAACTAGAAGTGTATTGGTTTGTTATTGGATTGGATAAAATGATGATCATGGCTAGGAATCATGTGTGTGTGTGTGTGTAGGACGTATTTAAGGCAACGAGCTATGATAATTTTTACAAGTGATTAGTTTGCTAATCGGCTTCTTTTTTGCTGCCTTGTCTATCCTTGCTTAGTAGTAAGTGTAATATGTTTGATGTTTGGTGAAATTTTTGATTTTTGCTATTGTAACCGAGAATCAGTGTAACTTCGACTCAATACACTTTTGTCATTGATATGAAGATAAAATATGAGGAGTGTGGAGGTAGAGTATAGCTCCATATTGGATAAAATTCTCATTTTGATAAAGAGTTGCACGCAGTGTGTTTGTTATACAATAATGTTTACTGATGACTTTTCAAGTAAAATGTATTGCTCATCGTCTTCATATCAACATACTCATATAACTTTCTTGCTTCATTTATTACATACATGAGTAAAGGAAGGCTGAGTTAAGTGTCTATCTAACAACAACCGAGCAACAACATTACTAAGTAGTACAACAAAAAAGACCGAAATGATGAAATGAAACAGATAGAAGAAGAATGGCCGGTTGGTGTTAAATATCCTAACTAACTATCCTATAAAGTTAATTAGGAAGATCAGAAAGTGTCAAGAACAAAATGAAAATAGTGGTGAAACTACAGTTTTACCATATAGGAGGGAGGGGATTCATCTGAAACCATTCCTACGTAGCACTTTCAACAAGGCAGGAATTACGCTGGTGGTGGCATTCAAACCTACAAACTCACTCACTCAGATAGGACAAGCGCTGTAGGCAGGTTGAAGGACCCTGTATGTTGACTCAATTAGACAAAATTATATAATTTACAAAATACCTTGCAATCACTGTGAGTTGCGTCAACTACACAGATAAATCAGACGACTGGATCAGGCAGGAATAGTGAGACTGCCTGTCAGAACATTCGAATTTAGCCAAGGTTTGAATGGTTGACCCCATGAAGATAATTAATTTAGAAAATAGCTCAGCATGACATTACACTGCATGCATTAACACAAAACCATAGAATGGGATGGTTGGGGGAGAGTCAAAATTCTACAACGTGATGTATTTGACTGATTGACTGAATGATAAAACTAATATCATTATTATTATTATTTCCGAATGTACTTTCTTCTCATCTTATATTACTGATTGATTTTATTCAATCAAACGTTGTCTAATCATCATTAATTTCTACTTATGCGTGTATATAAACGACGAAGCAAGAAAGTGAGCAGTGTTTGAGTGTGTGTGCCTTGATATGATGATTATGATTATGAGTAGTAGTGGCGATGATGAATTGTGCTCGAAGCTTGTGGTTATCATCAGTAAACAATACTGTATAACAAACACACTGTGTGTGACACTTTGTCACAATAAAATTTTCTCCAGAATGGAGAAATGCGAATAGCGCTCAGTCACTGTTAAACGGTTAGGTATTTTCTGAAACTTAATCTTTTATTGCGTCGTACGTAACACAGTTTAGCTTGCTCATAGTCCATTTCATCAATAAATTCTTTGAGGGGAAATTTATAGATGTATGTAAACTGTGTTTGAACGTTTTTCGTTGTTTAATCTGTGGAAATAAATCATCAAGTTCAGTGAAGAGAATCTGTTTTCCGCGGTTGATTCATTCATTCATTTACCTGTACCACTGCAATAATAATTAATTATTTCAGTAATGCAAGAATGACAAATGTGTACCAGGATAGATAGATAATCTGAGCTCGTGTTTTTATTTTCTCTATTATTTCCTGGATTCTTCTCAACTGGCTGCATACAACCTGAACAATACCAAAATTATGAATTAAATTAACAATCTGAACATTCTTCTTTTTACACTGATAATGAGTAATTGATTGGAACTGAGAGTAAGTAACATTGATCAAGAATGATTTATGAAGTTGTTAAATAATTAGGAGAGTGGAAAGGATCGATTATTTATAGAAGAATTGCATGACTAAGATTGGAAATTAAAGGATAGCGAAGTTCAACAGATAGATGTTTTGTAGGTAGAAATAAAGTTTAACTAGGAAGAGTGTAAAAAGAGTAATAGGTTACGTAACGACAGAAAAACACGTTCTCATAAAATAGACAGAAATGAGAGTAGGGTAGGATGAGTCATGCTTAGACGGAAAATTCAAGTTTTCTAAACAGGAGAGAAGATGACATAGTGGAATTTGTGCTCTTTGATATCACCAAGGCAGTTTAAGATTCACCACCACTGTCTCTTTCTGCGTACACAGATGTGCTTTTAGGCATTTGATGGCGACTGTCTTAGCAAAACAAAGCAGACTAGATTTCTTTTGTCTGTTGATGATTTTGATTGCCTTCAGATTGTTCACAACATGACCAGTGGCTAGTAGATGGTGGCGTGCAATCACACTGTTTAATGCTTATGGACTCTTCAGTCTCCCAGGTTCTTTGGTATGCGTTCACCGATGCGGACAATAACTCTACTCTCTGCTCTTCCAATGTATGTGCTTTGGTACGTACATTTATGTGCGTATATATATTAGGTTTTTCCGACAAGAGTAGAAATAAGTTAGGGTTATTGTGATCTGCAGAGTCAAGAATAACCTACCAAAGGCAATACGCTTCCGTCTGCGTTGTATTGTTGAAGCCCTTCATTCAGTTGGAAAAACCAGAGTTATACATCCAAAAGAAAATCATTCAACCACTTCTACTATCATTGTAACAATCGTGTTGACTTCTACTGACTTGATGCTTGTGTTAAGAGGTGAGAAAATAGACAAGTTAGGTCAAGTTAAAAAGATATATTGAAGGTCAAAATGACAATGAAGATCAACCACTGAAACAAATAATAAGAGGTGATAATACATCTACCTTGACTAGTATCAAAACAAAACTTACCAAGGACAGTATGTTTAGTGAGATGACGAATTGTTGCTTCAATCGCATAAAGGTGGTTTGAACTTTCTAACTGCTAGCCATGACCAGCTTCCACAAACTTTAGGATACGACCTCCACCGAACACGTTCTATAGATAGGTTTAAGAGATGGGTCAACATCAGTTTTATGTCCTGTCTCCTCTCTAATATGTTTCGCAATAGAGGAGCTAGCTCGTCGTTTGTTCTCACCACTAATTAATGGATTATGGGGATTCTGTTTGTTTGTAAAGCTTTTCAGGACTATGCTCTGAAGCCAGATCTTACCTGAAGAGATTGACGAGTCCTCCCTCCAATTTACATGTGTTCACATGTACATTCAAATTAGTAAATACAATGGGATGTGACAAAATTTTCGCATGTTCTAAGGGCTTACATGGCTTCACATTCTCAATTATTATGATATTAGCTGTGAAAAAGTCTTTTTAACCACAACAGCGTTCAATCTTTGTCGAACTGTCAAGCAGCTATGATTCCCCCATCTCGTCCATATAGGGTATTTTGATGTACATGTCTTACTTAGAGGAGGTGAGTTGTAGAGTGTGTCTTAGTGTTCCACTGACCACTTTATGTCTCCTAATGAACTTGTCTGGATAATTATCGTCAACCAGATTTTGTGTCAACTTTCTTTCTTCGTCATCATCAAGTGTGTCATCAGTGCATATTCGTTGGATTCTACTGAAGAGGCATCTCGCTCACTAAGGGTCTTTTGTACTATGTACTATGTTGATTTTTTGACAACACAGCACCACTACTCTCTTGCCAATCTTCAATCCACCCCCACCCACCCACCTACATCTAGTTACAATTTGATTACTCATCACAATTTTGAAGTGTCTTGACAACAATAACTCTAACTTATTTCCATTCTTATCGGATAAACCTAATGTACACACACTGGCATTCAAAAATGTGTATACATATAATTGCTATTGTACAGCTCAGCTAAGTGAATGAATTCGCCACTGAAAAGAGACTGTTTGCTGAACACCAAGTGTCTTGTTTTGTTTTCATTCATGTCTGGATGAGGATTATTCATGAAAATCATTAGGTCAACGTGTATTTCACATTTGGTGGAATGAGAGTTTCAAAACTTCCTTTAATGCACTACAGAGTATATCTGCCTCATTGACTCTAATGTTAGTTGTGTTACTCATTCAATTACACAGATCTATGAAGGACGTTTAATGAGAAAATAAATTCGGTATATATATGCCTACTATCACTGATGATATTGTTAATTGTGGTGGAGTGGATTATGTGTGAGACTGTGCGTTTGGAGCGGCGACATAGGAATACGCTCGATCACTAATAAGAAGACTCTAGAAGATCTGGATTCCGCAAATGATACATGTCTAATGTCACAAAAACTCGAACACTTGCGAGCAAAAACCAACAAAACTGGCTGAACAGGCTGGTAGAGAAGACAGTCCTGCAGTGAATATACAGAAGTTGGAGACGAAGGTGATCAAGATAACCAACGAACCGCCACAGCAGCAGCAACACCCAGCACCAATCACCATCAACGGGAGAGATTTGAAAGAGATTACCTCCATCACTGATCTATACAGGCGGATGGCACGAATGAAGATGTCAAAGTCAGTCAGAATCAGAAGGGCAAGATACGCACACCTTCATCAACGTGAAACTAGTTTGGAAATCTTCTGCTTCCATCCGCCCCAGCATAAGGAACAAGATTCGGATTTCCAACATCAATTTCAAATCATTTAGTGTTTCTATATGGGTCAGAAACTTGCACTGCGTGTGCGTCACGAAAAGGATTTCCAATAGCCAGATGCAGGCTTTCATCAACAGCTGCCATAGTCGCCCGCTGGCTGGCTCAATTCTGAAGATCAAATGGCTGGCCGGTCGGCCAGAAGCAATTAGTAACAAGGAAGTCTGCAGTGGAACAAACCAACTAACAACCAATTGATTACTCAACAAATATGCGGGAGAAAATGGATTTCAGATGGATTGATCAGGCATACGTTGAGGAGGCCACTGAATGACATCGGACGCAATACAGGCCATTGCTTGAATGGAACCCAAATAGAAAGGGATGAGTGGGTCATCCTTGGGTGACATGAAGGTGGTCGTGTGTCGAGGATGAGGATGATGGTGAGATGAGTGATTATGGGCAATCGTGAGGCTAGCCAGCTGAAGAGGACAGCAGGAAATGTACAACACGAATACACTGATAAAAACAATTTGACTCCAAATCTCCTTGTAGTAATAATTTAAAATAAATATGCAGAGGTGGAGGTGGACACAAAAATTTAATGGAATCACTTTCACTATGACAATAGCTTATATTTTTCAATGAGATTTTATTTTGGTTTTAGAGGCATCTCTCTGAATTTGTGCGTCTTCCTTCTATGTACATATATACGCACTTTGCATATAATATTTAGTTTCACAGTGTTTCAACTAAGTGTATGAGAACTCAATATTAGAACTCAATCCCAGTTCATCATTTATTTCATTATATTAAGAAACTTTAAAAGTGAAATTTATCCTTTTAATGCACTTGTGTATACATGTACTAGAAATTGTTAATCTAAATCTATTCATAATAATTATGAATAGGAGAGACTATACTCAATTTTTGGCCACATTGTACTCACTCTTGATTAGTAATCAAATTACATATATGTATTACATACATGTAATGCTTTATATGCACCTTGATAGTAGTAGTAATCGTCTACTAAATGAAACTTTTATTTCATTGGTTTGAGGATTTCATCATGAGCACTGACATCGGTTTTTTGGAGAACCATTGGAGAATTCGCAACAGGGAGTACTGCCAGACAACCAGCTGTTTCATCCTAGTGCTTGGGACTCTACATCAGTACTCACCCGCCACACTGGGGTTCAAACCCATGGCGAGCGAGCTCTTAAGTAAATAAGCAGTCACTGGCACTCACGAATACAATGGCCAGCCAGCATATGAATTCTAACTTCTGCCAATTCAGGCACGACATAGCTCGATCACTTCACCATATCTTCTTCTATGAGTAACTGTCCTCACCTTCGACCTGCTATACCCTACTGGTCATGGCTTCCTAGTAGAACCTTAGGTAACTACCTGAATAGAGCCAGTCACTAGTGAGCATCGGATCAATTTTCAAGTATTGGTTTTGTAGGGGTTTTGTTTCTTTGACTGGTTAATGGATTTCATCACGAGCTGACATCAGTAACTCATCGAAGAAGAAATTGCAAGGTGGTAGCGCTATATCGTGCGTGAATTCACGGAAGTTGGAAATCATGGAATGGCTGCTTGGCTGGATATTGGATTCGCTGGTCCCAGTGATTGGCTGCCTAATGGTCTACGCGCTAGCTCGCCTTATAACCAGAAGGTTGTGGGTTCGAACTGCAGTTGAGTGGGTGCGTACTGTTGGTGAGCCAGTCCTAAACTAGGACAGAGGAAATAGCTGGCTGTTCAGTACTCCCTGTGATTGGTTTTGTAGTGCTTCTCTAACCAATGTCAGTGCTTATGATGAAATCCTCCAACCGATCAAACAAACAAAATCCCTACAAAATAACAATACTTGAAACTGTTTTGTCTAAACAACAAAGAATGTCAGTAATACTTCTGTCATACAACAATCTATTTAAAAAATGTTTAACTTAGCCATTCATTTTAAATTTTTAATAAACAAATATGTTTATATATGTACATATATATAGTCTTTTCCCAAGAAAAGTCTATTGAAGCTATGTTTGAAGCATCTATCCTGCAAAGACAACCCAATGAACATATTTGCATTGAATCGACAACATCTTTAAAAGAGTCAAATCATAGAAATAATGATAATGATAAGAATCGTTGGAATCTGCAGGAAATGAGTTTTATTCTACCTTTGAAAGAAAATGTTAAAGATATGATTCCCGTGATGAAGATTTTTGCTGTAAGTTCATGCAAAGTTAATGTAATGTAATGTAATAATGTAATAATTTATATATATATATATATATATATATTAGCGTTGTTTATAGGAGCTTGTATTATTATAGCTTTACTATACAAGACAAGGCTGCCTACCACTATCTCCAATGTTTAATTTCCTGATTGTAGTAGACTGAATAATGCGATAGATAGACAGACAGACAGCGAGCAACGTAGAGACTGGCATAAAATGGACCCATACAAAAGAAATACTTGAAGAATCTAGATCGAGATTTCGCAGATGCGAAATATGTCTGATTTCCCACAAACTGCTGGAAGATATGCAAGTGAATAGGCAACAAGTTGGTGATAGAAGAAGCATCCAGAGAAGAAAGGACTTCAGGTGAACATAGAGGAAGCAGAGGTGATGATGAAGATTCCTGGTCATTAGCAACAGAACCAACAACAGCAGACAACAGACAAAAGTCAGCATAAATAGGATAAATCTGAAAGAAGCAACCTCCCTTACCTACCGACCTAACTATTTACCTGGGAAGCATCGTTTCAACTACAGGCGGACGGAACTGATGAGGATATCATACGAGGGGGGATTGGGAAAGCAAGGCAAGCTTTCATTACTCTCCTCAAATCTGTGTGTAGATGAACAGAATTCAGCATGAAATATAAGATACGGATTTTCAACTGCAGTGTGAATTCAGTTCTACTACAAACTGATCAGGGACTTGGCACCACGCCGCGTCACGAGGGTCACTTCGAACAAACTACACACCTTCATCAACAGCTGTCTTCGGTCAATATTTTGATCACTCAAGATCAGATGGCCGGTCAGAAAGGATGAGCAATAGGGAACTCTGGCAATGAACCAACGAATCAACCTAACCGAACCCAGCAGGAACCAATTGTGTGCAACAAATATGCATGAAGAAATGGAGGTGTATTTGATTGTGGCCATACTGCGAGAAGAAAAACCATCAAGTGACTAGCGACACCACACACCAGGCTGTGTCTATCTATCTCGAGTGGAACCTGAATGGGGTGGGAAGCGGCGAGTTAGTTTGTCGTCAGTGCGTGAGAGTCACACGGAGGAGCAGGGGCAGGAGATGACGCGAAAAGGAGATGAAAGCTTGTGAGAAGACGTGGAGAGAGGTGAGAAAACGTTGGCGGAGAACCCCGAACGCAATGGAGACGTGCGGCTGAAGTCATATGTTGTTCTTTTAGGAACTAGAGGAAACAATAATATTACGTAATTAACATTATGATTCCTTCAGTTTCCAAATGGAACATATACGGCTTCAACAACAAAACTCCATTTTCTTCTATTTTGTGTCGTCCCCTTCAGCTGACTAGCTCCACAAGTGGCCATAATCTCTCATCCCCTCCAACTGCTCCTCGCCACACAATCTCCTCCATGTTACCCACGCACCGACGACCAACTCGTCCATCGCTCCCCATTTGGATTCCACTCAAGTGATGGATAGCCTGCATTGCGTGCAATGTCATTCGATGGCCTCCTTAACGTATGCGTGATCAATCCATTTCTCCTACATATTTGCTGAGCAATCAATCAGTTGTTGGTTGGTTTGTTCCGCGGCAGAGTATCTTGTTGCCGGCCATCTGATATTTAGTATTGAGCCAGCCTGTGAAGGTGGCAGTTGTTGATGAAAGCCTGCAACCGGCAGTTGGAAATCTCGTTGCAATATTAACCTCGTTTTCTATATAATCTTTTAAAATCTCTGTCCATTTAATAAAATGCAAACTTGATACAACATTGCACACTTTGACATGAGCCATACAAAAAATAATGATAATTAAACAATAAAATATCACGGAAACATGGACAGAATAAATGGGAAACAGGAATTTAGTTAGCGTACATGTCAAGATCAATAAGAGGCTAGTTCAGTATGGGAAGAAGTGAAGAAATTACTGCCATTTCACCAATAATTACGATTTTTTAATGCATTATATGAAAGCATCTCAAACAATCAATTCGAATTACGCCTCTAACATCAACTAGGCAGTCGCTTAGTCAGTTACCAAAATGTAGAAACTTTCAATTAATTTCAATTATGAAAAAATATTTAACGAATCATTCCTCTTGAGCTGCACAATCGCAGAAATATAATATATAGGTCATTTTTTATGTATGTGCACATTAACTTGTCAGACAAATACAACTGGTTACAGTTATTTAACTAAACAGTTAAATGAGTAAGTTATATTACGTAATTGTATACAGTTTTCTGTGAATGACAGACTTCCATCAAGAGTTTATTGTTATTAGATATATTGATTGCTGTAGTGTTCTTAGATCCTCTTGGACAGGATGCGCGTCGAACGGATGGTCTGGCTCACAGCGGCAGGTGAAATGATATACATATATATGATATGCATATACTTAATGTACACATACATACAAGGTGACCTATATGTATTTCTGTGATTGTACAGCTAAGAGGAAAATGAAGTGGCGGCTGCCGCCGCCGAAAAGCGACTCTTTGCTGAACACCACGTGTTTTGTTTTCATTAATGCCTGGATGGGGATTAGTCATGAATTACCGATTTCCCACTAGCTGTAGTTTTAGCTATTTCTGATTATAATCTTTCTGGTATCATATATACAAGGTGGTGTTTGCAGTGGAGTAATCTGTTCTGATAACAGAATGAAAGCTACGTAAATATTTACAGGTGAGTTTACATGATAGCTTGAGTATAAAAAAGTTTTTGTTTACTCAATTTTTTTTCACATCTGATGCTTCTTCTCAGTTTTCTGTCAGTCATCATCTGCACTAGTAGTGTGGTGAGTGCTACTTATAATCAGATATTAGTAGTATATCGACAAACGAATTCATAAAAAGCTACAATTATGTTTCAGACACTGGACAAAAAGCACTTGGAGAGCGTAACTGTGAGAAGAACGTGAGAAAGGCTGTGTAGAATCCAACAAGAAGCTATCGAGTGTGATGGGTGATATTCGACCAATTTGCAAATGATATGCAAATAAAGCATTGAAGATATGCTATATATACCGAATGTATATTACCTCATCGATCTATTCTGCTTCTCATTAGTAGTGGAATTCTGATTACACCTAAGAATAGTCAATGTCTTGGATAATAGCCTGGTTGAAAGATACACCAGAAGTGAATGCAGGATATTTTGTGACGTTGTATATGTGCAAACCAAGTTCACTTTTAACAGTTTAAAAAATTCGGGCAAGGGTATATGATATTCATTATAGAAGAGGTTTTCTTGTAAATCTCAATGAATGAAAAAACAGAACGATATTTCACATTTTTACTGGCATTTCGCTATTTAATGCTAATAACTTTATCAAAGTATTATTAAACCAGAATTTACAAAATCTCAGCATATATAACAAAGAGTTAAGAGGTGAGAAAATAGACAAGTTAGGTCAAGTTAAAAGGACATATTGAAAGTCAAAATATTAATGAAGATCACTAAACCAAATAACAGAGGTAATAGTACATCTGCTATGGTATCAAAACAAAGTTTACTAACTTGATCATCATTTCTCAGTATGGGGTCAATTTTCGTTGTCAAACTGGCCAATTGGTAAAGATAACAAAACCAGGTGTAGATTGTTGAATTTCGTAAGTGTATATATTATAAAAAGAGTGTGTGCTTATATAATGAAATTGCTTATCACATTCGTGTTGATTTTGTCACTTCATGGAGGAGTGGGGTCAAATTCTGTTTTAGTCCATCATTCCTATTCAGACAATTTTGATTCCATTTGATATGAAGTGCTCCTGTTGATATTAGACGTTGTTTGTGATTTGTGAAATTTTTCTGGATGATGATTTCAATATTGTTAAAATCAATTTTGTGGACTGATTCTATAGTGTAGCGTGTAGACGACCTATGATTGATGATTTTTCAAGGTTTTCTAGTTGATTAACTGAATTTATTTCTCGGTGGTCGAAAAGACGCTCTACGGTGTTCATTTCTTCTGATTACCTTGATTTCTCCCGAGCGATGTTTGTCCGATGTGTATCGCATCACATTCCACGCATTTTATTTTGTGGACACAATTAGATTAAGAATTCTTAGGGATTTGTTCCTTTACATGGACAAGGTTGCTTTGTAGTATGCATATCTGATGTTTTGAAGAAATCTCTGGTGTCGAGCTTACTGAATACTCTTCTGATGATATCCTCTGATGTTTCTGATCTATATGGAATGACAACTGTTGAGGTCCATGTTTTCGGACTACGCTTTCGACCATACTCAATGTCAGTGCTGATTTTGTTGATGAAGTTCCTTGGATAGTTGTTTTGCTTGAGAGTTTCAGTTATGTTTGATATTCTTTCTTCTTTTTCTTTCTCATCCGTTATCAGAGAGTGAGATCGTCTAATAAGACTTGAAACAACTGAAATCTTTGCGCTGATTGGGTGTGATGATCCGAAGTCTGAGCATTCGTTGGAGTAGGTTTTCTTCCTGAATAAGGATATGCTGAAATGTCCGTTTTCCCTCCTCTTAACTAGGCAGTCAAGAAATGGTAGTTCACCGACGACTGATTCTGCTTCCGAAGTAAACTGGATTCTGGGAGATACACAGTTCATTTTCTCCAGGAGTACTGCCGATGATTCCCGATTTAGCATGAAACAGCAGCTGTCCAGTACTCCCTGGCTTTCAATGCTTCTCTAACTGATATCAGTCCGTGATCAACTCGTAAAAAGATGTTATCTTCGAATCTATTCATGAATAGGTCAGCGACTATTGAGGAGACTGGGGAAACCGTGGCAACACCATTTGTTTGCCTATATAAAGTCCCTTTAAATGTAAAATAATAAATTTCTAAACAGAATTTCAAGCTCTTAATTATTTCACTGGTATCCAGTGGACATCTTTGTGATAGCATTGTATCTGATTCTAGTAGAATGGAAATGATATCAAGACTTTCGGTAATAGGGATACTAGTATATAATGAGTTAATATCATAGCTTACCAATGTTTGTGTGTTCACACGTGCATTCAAATTAGTAAGTACAATGGGATGTGACACAATTTTCGCATGTTCTAAGGGCTAAGGTGGCTTCACATTCTCAATTATTATGATATAATCTGTGAGAAAAGTCTTTTTAAACACAACAGCGTTCAATGTCTGTCTAGTTGTCAAACTTTTGAAATAATAGAGAATAGTTGTCAAACTGCTATGATTCCCCCAACACGCTCATATAAGGTAGCGTGATGTACGTGCCTTAGAGGAGGTGAGTTGTAGAGTGTGTCTTCGTGTTCCACTGACCACTTTATATCTCCTAATGAACTTGTCTGGGTAATTATCATCAACCAGATTTTGTGTCAACTTTCTTTCCTCTTCATCAATGGTGTCATCATTACATCTTACTCACTAAGGCTCTTTCATACCGAACAGGACAGAAACTGTGATAATTAAGATACTGTCTTGTCCAGGTAGTTTTTCTATGAATAGATCGTTTTATTGATCCATCAGGCCGTCGACTAAGCAATATGTTTGGGAAAGATAAACAATTATCTTCCTCTTCTACAGACGTAAGTGATTTGCTAATCTGAACTTCATTTAATAGGATTTAAAATTTAGGTGACAGAACAGATGGCTTATCACTTATGATTGCAATGTAATCTACATAGCTTCTATGAAGTGACACATTTGCGAATAGATCCTACGATAAACGGACTTCCCATGGCGACACCAACAACCTGACAAAATCAGTCGCCTTCAGACAAGTTACATATTCTCATTGCTTTGTCTAAACTAACCTTTTGTTTTCTTATTTCAACGTAGTGGTTAACTTACACACTGACACTGACACACATTCAACGCACATAGATTTCAACCCTAAAACACCCCTTTTCTTCTCTACCACATCTTTGATATGATCACTCATCCATCTCAGTGGAACTTAGTGTGAACATGATTCAAGAGAATTTATTATTGCACATTCATTGTCACTCATAATGACATCTACTTGGTAATATTGGTGTTCAGCTGAGTTTCACAATTTCACATATGACCACACACACAAACACCTACATATGTATATTGGACTATAATCTATTAACAACAATCTAATTGCAAATAACTTTTGGAATCCCGATCTAAATGATTCCATGTTACTCTCTTTATTTAAAAAAAAACCCACAAATGTTGTCCGTAATAACAATCCCATTCTGCCATTATTATGAATAGATGCATATGACAACTGTAGAACCTGATGATGAAGTTGATAATTCTTTGAAGTTTGCTCTGATTAAGCAATCAATGTTCAGTTTCTTCTTTCATACATTTCATACACATTCAGGATAAGGGCATCAGTATTCTACATATTGAAAGTCGAAGTCAAAAGTTGTCAAATGCAATCAACTCTGAACTCAAGCCACTGGAAGTGTTTATTCATGTCAAAGTTCCTTTAGAAGCGTCAGATGAACTTGTTGAACGACTGAAATCATTTTCATCCAATCTAATCATTGTTAATGATCATCCAAAGTTAGGTGAGTTTTAACTTCATAACAGTTGACTTTCAATTATTGATTTTGAAGGGATTTTGTTTGATTGGTTACAGGATTATATCATGAGCTCTGACATCTGTTGTTCAGAGAACCATTGGAAAACCTGCCACAGGCAGTAGTGGACAGCCATCTGTCTTTGTTATCCTAGTTTGGGCTCCTCAGTAATACGCACCCACAACACGCAGGGTCGAACAGAGGACCTACTGTTTACAAGCTCACCGAGCTCGAAGACCATTAATCAGCCAGCTGGACGCGATTCAATGGCCAGCCAGCCTCTCCATGGATTCCAACTTCTGCCAATTCACGACAAAGAGCGACCACATAGCAATGTCTTCCGAGCGTATTTGTGTTTAAGCGGGACTTTCTGCACACTAATGGTCATGATGAAACCCTGTAACTAATCAATCAAATCTCTACACACCAATATTTGAATATCAATCAGATGCTCACCAGCGACCGGCCCTCTTCAGAAAGGTGGTTACCTGGGATTCTAGTGGAAATTCATGACCAGTAGAGTACAGCAGGTTGGCCGTGAGGACAAATGCTCGCCAAAGACATTGCTAATTGGTCGGGCTATATCGTGCATGAATTGACAGAAGTTGGAATTCATGGGATGGTTGCTTGGCTAGCCATTGAATTCGCGGGTCCCAGTGAGTGCCTGCCTAATGGTCTAAGCGCTAGCTCGCCTTATAACCAGCAGGTTGTGGGTTTGAACTGCAGTTAGGTGGGTGCAGAGCCCGTCCCAAAGTAGGCCGTCAAAACAGCTGGTTGTCCAGTACCCGGAGGTGGTTTTCCAATGTTTCTTTGTAAATCGTTTATAAACTATGCTATTTTTCAAGAGTTGGTTTGTATGGATTAAATTTGTTTTTATGAGTTTGACCGATTGATTGATATCAGTTAGAGAAGGCTTGAAAACCAGGGAGTACTGGATAGTTGTTTCATCAGCCAAGTTCGAGAATTATCGGCACTACGCACTCACCGCACTGGGGTTCAAACCCACGACCTTCCGGTTACAAGACGAGCTAACTCAAATCTCATTAAGACACTGACAGGGACCCGATTCACTGGCTCATGATACTGTACTCAGCTTATTGGCTTTAATAACTGCCTAACTATGAAAGTTTGATATTCACGATTATTGGGTTGAAACGTATAAAATGTGAATGTTATTCTGTGACAACTCATGCTACTCTGTCATATATATATACTTTTGATGATTCTTCTGAAGGTCTCTAATGCATGAAGGTATTCTTTGTATCTATGTGAATCAGTCAAGTTACAACCTGGGTTATCACAGTTTCCTTGTTTGCTTCTCAAAGCTTCCCAGAATTTTCATCACTACACTAAAAGACATAACAAAAATGCGCTAAAGTTGATCAAAGTGGAGAAATTTAGTAAAAACCCCCAGCCATAGGGTTAGAGCTGTATGCTCAGAAGAGGTAACTGAAGCTGAACTAAGCACTGATTGTGCATGATACCTTGGTTGAAAATAGCTATCCCTACAAATTCATCAAGAAACACACGACAAAGAAAGTTGAAAAGTTCACTATTCACTATCCGTAAACACGAAGCCTTTATATTTACACATGACTGCAATTCAAGGGTGAAATATACCTAGCGAAATAATTACGAAGAAGTTAAGAAAATCTATTCAGAATACTTTTAATGCTGGTAAACTACAAGTCATGTTTTCTGCAAGACCAACCGATGTTGATTCCTCGATTGAAAGATTAAGTATCTAGACTAGGATAGGCACTTCTGTGATAGTATCCACGATTTCAACTGCGTCTGTGCTTGTGGAGCCAGTTATATTGGTCTTTGCTCCAGGAACTTGATCTTTCGTGCTTGCTTGGGAACATCTCCCAGTATGGGTAAGTAAAGGCGTAGCAGAAACCATCAACATCATCATCATCTACCGGGTACCAAACAGCTTGCTAAAAGCATCCAGGTATCGCATACTTTGTTGAGTAAACATCTTTTTGGAACATTTGTAAATTAATGAAAGCACATTTCATGAATAATTGTCTTAAAGTGTAAAATTCTAGAACCAAGTTGAATTGAATAGTTGTTTCGTCTAGGTTTATGCTATATACCATCATGATTTCGTAGAGAAATAAGTACAATAAGGTTATTACAAGCACCCGCCAGACTTTAACCATTTTACCTAATCATAATATTATTGTGGATAGTATTATTCTTACTATTATTATTCCTTTGCGCTCTGAGTGGAAAATACAGCTGCCTTCAACACCACATCTCCACTTCGTTCTGTTTCCTGCCGTCCTCTTCAACTTGGTCCACGATTGACCAAACTCTCTCATTTCTTCTTCACACGATCTCTTCCATGTCACCCTAGCACCGGCCAACCATTAGTGCGTTGCTTCCCATTCGCATTCCACTCGAGCTATGATCTGCTGTGCGATGTCATTCGGCGGCCTTCTCAATATATGACCGATCCATCTCCACTCTCTCATATATATTTGTTGAGTCATCAACTCGCGTGTTGGTTTGTTCCCATAGTTTCTTGTTGCTAATTCTTTCTGGCCGGCCGGCCAGCCGTTTGATCTTCAGAATGGACAACTATGGCATCTATTGATGGAAGCCTGCCACTTACTGTTGGAAATCCTTTTCGTGACGCACACGCAGTGCAAGTTTCTGACCCATATAAAAGAGCTGACTGAGTTCACATTTGTAATGAAAATCCGAATTTTGTTCCTTATGCTGAGGCGGAGTGAAGCAGAAGATTTCCAAACTGGTTTCACGTTGATGAAGGTGTGCGTATCTCGCCTCTCCGATTCTGACTGACTTTGACATCTTCATCCGTTCCAACTGCCTGTAGTTGAAACGATGCTGGCTGCATAGATCAGTGAAGGAGGTAATCTCTTTCAAATCTCTCCCGTTGATGGTGATTGGTGCTGGGTGTTGCTGCTGCTGTGGCGGTTCGTTGGTTATCTTGATCACCTTCGTCTCCAACTTCTGTATATTCACTGCAGGACTGTCTTCTCTACCAGCCTGTTCAGCCAGTTTGTTGGTTTTAGCCGGCCTGCCTGTATTGTCGTTTGCGTGGCATTGAACATATATCATCCAGGCGCGAAACCTAGATCTTCTAGAGTCTTCTTATTAGTGATCGAGCGTATTCCCGTCTCGTCGCTCCCAACGCACAGTCTCACACATAATCCAGTTCACCACAATTAAGGATATCATTTTTGGTGGTAATAGACAGCCAGCCAGCTTGTCTTAATCCTCTGTTCACTTCGAACGCCGTGCTGAGTTTTACGTTTTGCATCATTTGACACGTGCCATTGTCATATAGTCAGCCAGCTGTTTAATGAGGTTGATAAAGGCTTGGGTACTGCACGCCGTAGTGTTGAAGCATTTCTCAAGGTACGTCTTTGTCAACGTTATCTGCCGAAGGCCTTTTCGAAGTCGAAGAACTCATTGAGGTAGACAGAGGTTCGACTGCCATTCCATGCCTTGTTCGATATTAACAGATGCAATTTAACAGAGATGGATATATATATATATATCGATTTTTCATAAGCTGGAAAATAAGAGTATACTGTATTTGGAATTGAGTTAAGACTACGCCTTTCACGTAGAATCTAATAACACCAAGAACAAGGAGGAGGAGGATGATTCTGGTTGTAGTAATAGTGTTGTATCATCATCGAGATAATTAAAATATCAGACAGTCCATCACACATAAAAGGATAAACACTGAGCACTGGGGTGTTTGTTATACAGTAATATTTACTGATGATGACCACATGCTTCGAGCATAATGTTTATTATTGCCAATACTCATAATCATAATCATATCAAGCCACACACACACTCACACACGCTACTCGCTTTCTTGCTTCCTCGTTTATATACATGCATAAGTAGAAATTGATGATGATTAGACAACATTCGATTGAATAAAATCAATCAGTAATATAAGATGAGAAGAAAGTACATTCGGAAATAATAATAATAATAATAGTGTTATCAATCAATCAATCAGTCAAATACAGTCAGATGATGGGATGGGAAGGCAAATAAGACGAGTGTTTTTATAGTAAAATAAATAAATAAATTTAAATATATAAAATATTTTCTTGATTGAATTATAACTGACTGACTGGTGGTAATAATATCTTGCATATCTCTGGTATTAGCTGGCGATGATGATGAGTCACTTCTATTGCATGTGCTATGTTGTGTTGTGTTTGTAGACTCGATGAACGAGGATTCAGTAAGTAAGCGATCTCTCTCTATCTCCACCTACCTATATTACTTCTTGGAATTTCGACTCTGTCTCACCTATCCCATTGTGTTGTTGTGTGTTAATGCATGCGGTGCAACGTAGTGCTGAGTTGTTTATTCTGAATTACCTATCTTTGTGGAATTATTCATTCTAACATCAGCTAATGTCTTACGTTCTTACAGCCAGCCTGACTACCCTCGATCTACCGGTCTGTTTGACCTATGTAGTTGACTTGACTCACAATGATTGTAAGGTATTTTGTAAATTATATTATTTTGTTTAATTTGGTCCATAGGTTCCTTTGGCTCACAGACCTCTTCTATCTGAGTGACTTTGTAAGTTTCGTTGCCACCACCTTAATTCCTGCTTTATTGAGAATCCTACGCCGAGAGGGACTCAGATGTCTTTTCCCTCCTTATATAGTTAAACCACAGTAGATGCCTTTTATTCTCTCTTAGTTATGTTATCATTATTAGTTTCACCATTATTTTTACTTTCTTCTTGATATTTTCTGATCTTCCTAATGAATTTTATAGGATAGTTAGTTAGGATATTTAACACCAACCAGCCATTCTTTTTCTATTTGTTTCCTTTCATCATTTAGGTGCTTTTTGTTGTACTAATCAGTAATGTTGTTGCTCAGTTTGTTAGACAGACCCTTAACTCAGTCTTCCTTTACTCATGTATGTAATAAATTAATCAAGAATGTTACATGAGTACGTTGATATTAAGACTATGAGCAATAAACTGTAGTTGAAACATTATCAGTAAACATTCCTGTATAACAAACACACTGCGTGCAACTCTTTATCAAAATGAGAATTTTATCCATAATGGAGTCCACTAAGCAGACAGTCGTGGAATTGGTAGTAGTTGCCGTAGTCGTCGTCATTGTGGCAACTGTAGTGGTATTGTATTATTAGAAGTATTTATTGTGTGATAACGTCCAGTGTAATTCGCTTATCAATTCATCAAGCAATCTCAGGCATTCAGTATGTATTGACAAGACTACAATTAGATAGTGACAGATGAATGGGTACAAGACTAGAATTCAGGATAATGGATTAAACCGTCACACTTTAACCCAAAACCAAAACTAAATGACTCGTTATTATTCTGTGAACACATTAGACACTGGATTTTAACCCTGGAAATGGAAAATTATCGGCTAAAACATTTGGAGAATATCAAATATTTGCGATTCAAATAGTATGCTCTGTATATTAGGTATATCACACAGTGAAACAGTATTATTTATTCGATCAGAATTCTTAACAAGGCAGGAATAAAAACGGCATTCAAACCAACCACAAACTCAATTAGAAACAAGCTTTGTCGGTTAAAGGATCCTGTAGAGCCTTTAAAACAAAACAATTTAGTTTATCTCATACGCTGCAATGATTGTCAGGTCAAATACATAGGTCAAACCAGTAGAACAGGGGCAGCCAGACTAGCTGAACATAAAAACTTAGCAAAATCTAGATTGGTTGACCCGAATAAGATAAGAAATCTAGAGAATAGTTCAGCTATAGCACTACATGCAGTCACACACAACCATACAATAGGATGGGATAGGATGACAGTTTTAAAATTTAATGTCACAGGGTAGAGGGAGAGACTGACAACCGAAGCTTTGTTTATCGAATCAACTACAAATACATGTAATAGGAATGATTCATCACCTGTCCCCGATATCTGGAAAATTCTACTACCCAAACGACAAATAGGAGAGAACAAAGAAAACCATAAAACTCAAGTGTCAAAGTTGTGTGATCACAATTGATATGATCATGAACAATAAATTTTGTTCGAAACGTCATCCAGTAAATAATACTGTTTCACTGTGTGATATACGTAATAAACAAACTAATATGGAATTAGTTACTACCACAGTGCCCAAGTTTTACACATATATTAGTATGCTCTGTAGTATTCAAAGGTCCTGTAACTGTTGCCCACTCTAAATATACTTTCACTCATGTGATACTAGTCTGTTCACCATAGAATTTTTTTAAAATGGAGGTTTATACTATTTAATTGTTTTAATCGGCTGTCATGCTTTAAGTGTAACTGAAGGATTTAGACGCCTAATTCGATACATTCAACAGGTGATACACCGGTTGTTTGTTAGCCAGGCCTTTGTGATAGACATAGAAGCAAGCGTATATTTTCAAGTGAACAAACCGCTATATATATATATATATATTTTATTCCTTCACGTTCCCAGTGGAACATAGGGCTCCAAGCTAGTGGCTTGAAGTTTCTGTAGCAGTGCTTATTTTACAGGATGGGGTTGCTAGCCTCATGCCCAACCTCTCCTCTTTACCAGCTTTACTTCTGGTTTAGCGAGGCAAAGGAATGCGTCGGCCGGGGATCGAACCCTGGACCATGTGCATGGTTGGCGAGCGTCCTAACCGCTGTGCCACCGACGCATTTATATATATATATATATAGTTTTATATTCTTTAACCAATCATCACTGATTGAGCGTGTGATTTTGGTTTACATTGAACGGCATGCAATAGAATGTTAAAACAGATACATATGTAGTGTAGTATTCTGTTGCTAATGCTGTATTGAACTGTGGGGGAATGGTATTTGTGAGAATCATATTCCGTTGGAACACACACCTTGTTGTCTGTATCACACCACCACAGATTCTGTCATTTAATACATCTTGAAATAATGTACAATAAGCAAAGTTGTTTACTTTTCAAGGAGGAAAGCAACCTCCACATTTTCATTGTATATCTGTGTTATGTGTGTGTGTGTGTGTCAATTAACTCTATACTAATCACATTTAAGATAACCCTTATTGATTTGATGTAGGATATAAAACTTTAAATGAGAAAGTACCTTGGTTTCCAAGACATATCTCCGACCTCGATGAAGTATCCCATCGTGTTCTCATGTATGGAAAAGAATTGGACTGTGATCATCCAGTAAGTTCAATGCAGAATTATTACCTTATATTATAATAATTTATAGAATGTATTTATTCCTTATTCAGACAAATAATTTAAGAAGGGAGAATTTCTAGATAGAGAAAGAAAGAAAGACCAGATTTACATTATAAAATGACACCATCGTCACCATCATCATCATCATCATCATCATCATCATCATCATCATCATCATCATCATCATCATCATCATCATCATCATCATCATCATCATCATCATCATCATCATCATCATCATCATCATCATCATCATCATCATCATCATCATCATCATCATCATCATCATCATCATCATCATCATCATCATCATCATCATCATCATCATCATCATCATCATCATCATCATCATCATCATCATCATCATCATCATCATCATCATCATCATCATCATCATCATCATCATCATCATCATCATCATCATCATCATCATTCCATTTCACAGCTTTAAAGGAAGCAGATATTTACAAAGTGCAATTACCAGACACACATCCTGTGGATACGGGCCATTTTGTCGAGATTTCCGAATCCTTCACAATATTAAACATGCAAAGGACAGCGAATCTAGTATGCTTTGCTGAAGCCATTGCAATCAAATGTTTCTGACCAAACTTACACACACAGAAAGGGAGTGTAGTAATAATCTGTCCCTTCCTCCCTTGGTAACCATATTACTTTTTGATTACACTGATTAGCCATACCCGCTAGTGCGCTCAGCTCACTAAGCAAGTTTTCATTTTGACGAACTGTAACCTTCTTCAGTTGCCATGTTGGCATACAGGATAACATTGTTTATTAGACTTTTCTGTTTAACGTCTTCTCTCACCTCCTACCTCCACTGTTTTTTCATAGTTTGAAAGCATATCAGTTGATGGTGGCATAAACCGAAATTTGTAATGCTACTTATATTCCGGATGCGTTCATCTTATAATGTTTTCTCTATTACCTTTCAAACATTGAAGTATGAAATGTCGTTACCTATGACCATTGTGATATCAGGTGTAATTTGCAGCAGCAGCAGCAGTAGCATCTGATGAGAAGCTGTGAAATGGAATGATGATGATGATGGTGTCATTTTATACTGTAAATCTGGTCTTTCTTTCTTCATCGAAATGTATCAGAGGAACAAAAGTTATAAAATTTTCTGGATAACGTTTTATGAATAGAGTGAATACGGAAGCTGTCAGTGCCTCTCTCTCTCACTCTGTGCATGATGTCTTCCTCAGGCATTCACGCTTTTATAGGGAAAAAATACACAACAAATTGGTAGATAGTCTTCAGTGGTTTTACGGCCTAATTTGAAGCAGTTCGATTAGAATTCAGCAAAGTATACAAGTATCTCTTTTTTCTTCAACCTTTAAGCTTTGAAGTTGCAGTAGGCAGTACTAATAGCTTCACACACATCCAACTATCTGCCTTTTCAAGATTATTGTCGTCTTGTGAACCACGCGAAGTAGTAGTAGTCCGTCAGTCAGAAATCAAGCAACTCGGACCACCACCTAAGTGAATGGTAAGCATTTCACTGACGCATACTTAATAAATCCCGATAAAAAAATAGAAGCGTGTGTTGAAAGATAGTCAGCCATGCAAATCAAATTCTGAACATTCACGTACTTGTAACATACATGAATACTCAGGTTAAAATAATAGTAATAATAATTGCTCAAGCTAGTGAACGTGTGTACAAATTAATTTTGAGTCATTTTTGTGTTAGCCTTTTTTAAATGAAGCTTTAAAGTGAATCGATAAAACACAAAGTTTCGAAAAGGAGAAAAAATATATATATGTCTTTTCTGGGTGACTAAACTCGCTGAAGTCAGTCCTCGACAGACAACGTTGACTGAGAAGTAATTCGGAAGCTGCACCGACACATTACCAAATTTATTGAACAACTGGTTGGCTACATGACATTGGCATGTGTCAGCTGATTCAAAACAATAAACTAAGCTAGACGTCCGAAGTGAATATAGGAGTAAGAAAAGCTGGCTGGCCTGCTGGGTGGCAGACTGCCAACTATCATCAGTGATATTCCTAATTCTGGTGGCCTGGATTATGCGTCAGGCTGTGCGTTTGGAGGAAGGTATTCGCTGCACTGACCGATGGATAAGAAGACTCTAGAATATCAGGATTTCGTGTGTTGATGGTTTATATCGTTGAATGTCACACAAACTGGATGACTTCGAGGCAGGAGAAAACTGGCGACAAACTGGGTGAAGAGGTTGGCTGGGTGGCTGGCGGCAAAGACAGAACTGACTCCATCCAGGTGATGAATATTAGAGACCAACGAACGAACAGCAACAATAACAACCAGCATCAATCACAATCAATGGGAGAAAGAGATTGAATGAGGCTACTTCCTGCCTTCACTTATCTGGTGGCTAGGCAGCATCGTTTCAAACACATACATTCGGAACGCATGAGCATGTCAAGACCAGACGACCAGCCAGTCATTATCGGAAAGGCAAGTCAAACAGACCTTCATCAGTAATCTGAAATCAGTCTGCACTGCACTGCGCTGCGCTCCACTTCAGCATAAACAATGAGATTCTGACTTTCAGTGCCAACGTGAAGCGAATAAGTGAGACAGTGCTTGCTTCCATATGGGTGAGCAACTTGTCTGTGGCGTAACGAAAAATATTTGCATTAGTTAGCTATAGACTTTTATGAACAGTTGCCAAACTTACCAGCTGGCTGCATGCTGAATATGGGATGGCCTACTGGCCAGCCGGCTGGGCAGAAACAATTAGCAACACGAAACTCTGTAGTGGACCAACTAATTCGTTCGAAAAATATGTAGGAGAAACGGAGTGGAAGAGGATTGGCCACATGCTGATGAGATTGTCAGATGACATCACGCACAATGCAGGCAGGTGGTTCATCACTTGAATGGAACCCCAATAGGAAGCGACAAGTTGTGAGTTGAACCGAGGTTGACGTGAATGAGATGAGAGATTATGGACAATCATGAGGCCAGCTAAAGAGGACAGCAGAATATAGAAGAAAGTGGAGATTTGGTGTTGTTGAAGCCAGCCCTATGTTCAACTCGGAGCCTAAAGAAACAATAACAATAGTAATATATTTATCTTTCGGAAAGTTGATCTCAGGATTAACACTCTAAGTGAAGCTTTTACAAGACGTTTGAAGGAAGCCCTTCAGCGAAATAGTCGAGCCTATGACACTTTTCTCATATTTCCGAAACTGGAATAAATGTTAACGCAAGTGACACAGTAATTTGAAAATTGGTTATATAAAAATTAGTGACAAACGTTTATCAACTGGTGTCTCCTTTGCTGGCTGGCTGGCTCCATAGTGAAGATCAAATGGCCAGAGGGAATTTGTAACAAGAAAATGTGTGAACAAACCAATCAAGAGCCAATCGAATGCTCAACAAATATGTAGGAGGAGATGCAGATGGGTTAATCGGGCATACATTGAGTGAGGATGACATCGCATGCAAATGAGGCCACCCATCAGTCGAATGGAAAGTGAATGGGAATCGATGGACGAGTGGGTCGTCGGCGCGAGAGTGACATGGAGGATATCGTGTGTGAGAGATGAGGAGGAGATGAGGAGATGAGAAATTTTGGTCAATCGCGTAGTTAGCCAGCTGAAGAGGACGGCAGAAAACAGAAGGAAGTGGAGATGTGTTGCTGAAGCCAGCTGTATATTCCACTCAGAACCCAAGGGAACAATAATAATGTACCACATTAAATCAGTTAGCTTAATACTCAATTATCGTCCGTTACAGTGCATTGATTTCTTCTCTTTAATAATTAAAAGCAGCAAAATCTGACTTTCTGAAGTGATTAGAAACCTTAGAAATGCGAAAATGACGAAAATAATATGGAATTCAAAGCCTCTTTAGTACTACCGCATAGAGAAGGAACGTCAGAGACTTTATGTAGGATACTCAATGAGGCCAAAATTAGGGTGGCATTTAAACTAAACAACCAATCAGCAAGCCAACTCTCTCAGAGATAAACTTTGTCTGATAGCTTAAGTATCCAATAGATCCAATTAGGAAAAATAATAAATTTTACCAAATGCAATGTAAAGACTTTTAGTGAAGTCAATTACATATGACAGTCAACCTAGTAGATCAGGATCAACTATATTACTGGAACATCAAGATGTATTTAGACGTAGAATGATTGACCCTGATGAGTAAGCTGAATAACCTTGAAGATGATTCAGCCATAGCAGGTAATAGCAAGTAATCCTAATGTGGAGTGAGTGGGACAGGGTGAAGTAATGCAGTTAGTCAGGTGGAGCGAGAGACAGAGAGAGGTTATTCGCTGAAGCCCTGTTTATCGATTGATGAACACCTTACACTTGGAGTAATCGGAATGACACAACAATGCCACCTATAGCGGAGATATGGAAAGAGGTAACAAACAACAAGAGGAAGAGGGGCAGAGAGAGAAACAGATTCAAGTATCAAACTATGAAGCCATGTGACTAAATGGATGTGATTATGAGTGGCAATAATTTATGTCCAGAGCGTTACCCAGTTGTTAATACTTTATCATTAATCACTGTGTAATATTTGAAATAAACTTATCTAATATTGAAATTACACATTCTACCACTACAGCGCCCAACTTCAACACTTACATTGGAAACTTTATTCGTACAAAACTGTCATTGGAAGTTGCGGATATAATTTGTTAGTATTCATCATGCGAAATTGTTAAAAAAAACTTTCCTTTAACATGACTAAACTATTCATTCTATAGGGGTTCAAAGATGCAGAGTACAGAAAACGTCGAATAATGTTCGCTGACTTGGCATTTAATTATAAGTGGTGAGTTGTATAAATGGTATATTATATTTGTCTGTCTATAGTGTCATTTATTCTGGTTCCCTTGACTTCTGAATGTGTAGTACAGGTCTTCTACAGCACACATCTCTACTCTGTCCTATTTTCTTTGGTTCTCATTAGCTGCCTAGACACAAGATTACCTATAGTCTCTCATCTCCTCCTCCTCCTATTCACGCGATCTCCTGAATATTTCCATATATATAACAATGTAGATTTTGTTGAAACGTTCAGCCCAACCCAAAAACTATGGTGGAGGTATGCAGATGACACACTTACCTTAATAAGAATACAAGACATAAATAGATTTTTTGAAAACATCAACTCGAAGGTGGAGGCAATTCAATTCACTTATGAATTCACTTAAGTCAAGAAGGGTAGCTTCCAATGTTAGATTGTAGCGTAAAAAGGAAAGAAGATGAGAAGATAAACATATACTAGTGTTTACAGGAAACCCACACACATTCAAACCGATATTTTTGGATTTTCGATCATCCCATCCTATCTATGTCAGTAAAAAAAGGACTGGTGAAATGTTTAAGTGACAGTATGGCGGAAAAACTAAGTGTTGCGAAGGAAAATCTAAGACAGGAAGTGAGGCATATAAGAGAACTTTGAAATTTAATCAATAATTACCCTGATAAATTAATCAGGAGGTAATAATAATAATAGTGATAGTGATAATAATAGTAATATTTATGGCGACATGCATGTCAAACATACACATGATAATGACAACACCAACAACAGGGAATATAAATCCCCATCAGTAGTACTTTCATACAAAGAACGAACATCGGAAACCACCTCACGGCGGAGAATTCTTAACAATGCAGGCAGGAATAAAAGTGGCTGGCATTCAAACCACCCACAAACTCAATTAGAAACAAACCTTATCGGTTTAAGGATCCTGCCTGTGGAGCCAAGAAAACAAAACAATTTAGTTTATCTAATACCCTGTCTGCAATGATTGTCAGGTTAAATACATGCGTCCAAGCAGTAGAACGGCGTAAGTCAGTCAGACTAGCGGAGCAGCACAAAAACCTAGCAGCAAAATCTAGATTAGTTGACTCGAATAAGATAAGAAATCTGGAGAATAGTTCAACAGTTGCACAAAGCCATACAATATAGGATGATAAGATAAGATGACAGTTTTAAAATCTAATGTAACACGGTGGGGTTTGACAGAGATTGACAACGGAAGCTTTGTTTATCGAATCAACTGAGAGGGCGGGAATAGGTGTAATAGGAATGATTCGACACCTGTCCACGTGGACATCTGGAAAATTCTACAACCCCTACAACGAATACAGAGGGAATGAAGAGAATTATGAAACGAAAGTTTCAAAGTTGTGTGATTACAATTGATGATATGATTACGAACAGCAATAAATTGTGTTGGCGACTTCGTTATCCAGTAATCAGTAATACTGTTTCACTGACTGTGTGTGATATAGAATTCATAAACATATACCAAAAAAGCCTACGTCTCAAGGGAACAAACGCTAACAGTAGTGTCATAATCAAACATCTCGTTGGTACTACTCCTGAAGTGGGAATCAAGGGATCTTTTAAAATTATCAAAGGCGAAATAGTCCAATCCAATTCTATTCAAGTTTGAAGAAGCGATTTATGTTGTTCATAGGGAGTCCATTATCAGTAAAGTGAAGTAGGTAAGTAAGATGATGAAAGTGATATGGATAAAGGAGAATGATGCTCAGGGGGCTTTGTGTGCTGCTTTTGGAATTGTGTGGGCGGTTGCTACTTCCCGGCTGCCCCCCTACACCAACGTGGAAGTTGATTGATTTATTCTTGGGGTTACCTGAAACAGAAAGAGGGTTAGTGTTGCGTAATCTCTGAGCACAAGAGACACAAATGCTTGAGGCCAGGTGGCCGGTCACACACGGCCTGTATGAAATGGTTTCTTGGATTAGTTTCGTATTAGTGAACTTACCGCCGGCTACGGAACACAGCCGTAGATGGCGTGAGTCGGGATGTATAAATTTTAGGGTCGGCCTTTTCTAATCACTCTTCACTGTCTCTAGATAGGTGGAGAGACAGCAAAGCTAGCTGGCTGGCATGCTGGTCATCTGAGTGAGGGAAACATCTTTCTGTGGCTGTTACATCCCTGTTCCCCAGCATGATGTAAAAAATCTGACACTATGCCGGTAACTGCTTTTAGTCTAATCGCTATCCTAACAACCTTCTTGGCATGGTAGGACCTGTAGGAACAATAGTTCCAGCCAGTGTAGCTTGTTGGGTCATTGCGCGATATGCAAGCCCGGCGATCACCACCACGTCAAGATAGGTAGCAGCTATTGGTCAGGGTGCTGTAAAGCTAGTGTGGAAACAGCAGACAACCGCTTTTATGTATGAACACGTAGCTTCGCATACACTTTGATTAACCTAATGAAGCACTTATTTGGATATGATGGAGAGGATTTGTAGCTCAGGTGGATTTGTTAGGGAATCAATTTTTAGAGCAGTTGACTCAGTCCAGGATGAGTTAAAGATGCAACGACATATTTAACATTGTAGAATGATCAAGTTTCATATATCATTAGTAAATTAGATGTAAAACAAAGCAATTCATGAATGTCAGTAAAAAGTTTGGGTATTGTGGAGTAGGCTCAGATAAATCGTTATAATAATTGAAATACAATCATAACGATTAGTTACTTTCTACCAGTACTGTATTACACAGTGAACAACACTGAGCCGACGAATCTAGTTTACTATTCTGCTGAACAGTTGCCTCATTTTCTGTCACAATGAGATACTGCCAAAAATATATCGATTCGATGTCCTGGTTTATTGTTTAACACTTCCAACAGTTTATCCACTATGCTATTAGGACGAAAAACCACTGGTTGTCCAGTACTCCCAGGTAGTTTTCCAACAGTTCTCTAACTGATGTCAGCTCCTGACTAATCTAACTTCAAAAGCTTATGCTCTATAAGTTACGAAACAGGGATTGGTGAGGAAGCTTTGTTTGGAAGGAAAAATCGAGGAAGAACTAGCCACTGTTGAAAAATCCCTGCATGATAATGGTTACCCACAGAAGTTCATCGACAAACAATGAAAACGTAGTCTTGACAAGGTGAATTATAGCACAGTAGAGAAAAAACCCATCTTTCTACAACTTGCCTTCAAAAGTGACGCTAATACTGCTAGTAGAATAAGATGCAGACTGAACACTGCCCTGCAAAGAACACAGCCAGCTGAACATATCCAGTTGTATTTATTTATCAAACGACCACCAGTTGTCGTTTAAGACATTTAAAAGTGGACAAACCCCCCACTTCATCTTACCAATTCCAATTCACATTCATTGGAAGAATAGAGAGAGAAGAGTTATCGTCCACATTGCTGAACACACACCAAAGAACCTAAGAGACTAAAGCGCCCGCAAGCATTAAACAGTGAGATTGCACGGCGTTATCTACTAGACACTAGCCATGTTGCAGACAACCTGAAAGCGTTCAAAATAATCAACAGACTAAAGAATCCTGTTATTATTCTATACTATAACTGTTTTATTCTATTCATTATGCTTTCACACCGTTTTATTTTCTGTTATCAGGGGAGAGAAAATTCCTGTCGTTGAATATACCGAAACGGAGAAAAAGACATGGTAAGAACTTCAGAGTGGAAATAATAATGACAGCGAACAATTGTTGCTTTCAATAAACTATGCATCTTCACACTTGACAATCATAAATCCATTTTAAAGTACTGGTTTGTAGGGATTTGATTGATTGGTTACAGGATTTCATCATGAGCTAACATCCGTTAGAGAACCATTGGAAAATCTGGAAGTGTGGTGAGAGATGGTTGCTAGCCAAATTGGTTGACAGTAATTGAGGTCAATTTAGTATCAAATATTAGTCATGTTGTGGTGAGAGATGGTTGCTAGTCAAATTGGTTGACAGTAATGGTAATTGTGTTGATTTTCCGTAATAAACGTTCTGTTGCCTGGCCCTTGTCTTCTGTTGTTACAGAAGTACTGGACAGCTGTCTCGCCGAAGTTTGGGACACTTCATTAGAACCCATCCACCGGGGTTCGAACTCAGGACCTTCTGGTTACAAGGCCACCGAGCTCACTGGGAACCGATCCAATGGACCATGAATTCCAAATTCGGCCAATTCGGCCAAATACTGGCCGAAGACATTGCCTAACGGTGGAGCAATGTTGGGAATTGGCATAATTTCGAATTCATGGGCCATTGGATCGTGTCCCAGTGAATTAATAGTCTATGAACTCGCTTGCCTTTTAACCAGAAGGTCCTGGGTTCGGACCCCAGTGGGTGGGTTCTAATGAAGAGTCCCAAACTACGACGAAACAGCTGTGTAGTATTCCGAGGTTTTCCAATGGTTCTCTAACTGACCAATGTCAGTGCTCATGATGAAATCCTCCAACCAAAAAATCCATTTATCTAAGCCTGCAATAGTCAGCCAGAAAAGTCAAACAAGAATCATATATATCAGAAAGTGCACTGCAGTAGAAATACAACAGCGAATAATAGTCAGTTAAATACGATGATCATTTAAAATATGTCTGCTCAATAAGAACATCATGAGATAAAATGAGATGGAATGATTCAATCATGTATGTGTGTGTAAATATAAACGTATATCATTTAAAGCGCAGAAGTCTGCGAACAGTTCTCCGTCCTCTTTCATCATTTCGCTGTGTGAGAGCATCTCGAACCATGATGAGTTCTCTTCTTGTATTATCTGCTCCCAGTGCGGCCTGCATTCATATCGCCCATGAGGATTTTGATGTCACCATTCAAAATCTTGTCCATGACTGTTTGTAGTTGTCTGAAGAAATCTTCCTGCTTCGCTTGTTCCGCGTTGTTTGTAGCACTGTGCGCAGCACTGCATGATAATTGTGTCCTTCCTTCCTTCCATTAAAGTTTAATCTTGCTGTCACCATCCTGCATGAGTAGGGGTGATTGGTTCCCACTGGACTAGGGCTCTGACTGACACTGGTGACATCATGATAGCTACTTACTGCCTCAGTGTGCTCGTGGTTATCGTCTAGGTGGTTGACCATAATGCATGTTTGTTAATCGATGGATGATTCACTTGAGTGCCAATCAGGCTTCTAGGAATTCTCTGGCAGTATTTTTGGTGTTTCCTCTATTTCAAATTTCGACATTATCCCACCAATCACTGAATCGGTGTCCATAATTATCTACATGCATTGGTTGATATGAAAGAACATATACATCATGTCAGTTAACAGCTAATTTGTGGTGTTCTTCGATTCTGATTCGAAGGAGACGCCCATTGTGTTGACCGATGTAATGCTTATTGCGGTTCATACATGCAATTTATTTTGTAAATGGTATTAATTTTATCTTCTTTTCCTGTTGAATGATTCTTTCTGTTTGCACAATATCGAATGGAGTAACTGTGCTGGCTGGCTTGTGTGCTATATCTATTTCAGTCGGTATTAATATTCTAGCTGTTATTTCAGAGAAATTTTTTATATATGTTAGGGTGAATTTTCTTGTAGTCTTCGATGATGGTTTCTTTCTGTTGGTGTTGTGACTCGAGTTTAAACACTTTTTGATAAAATTGTGTGTTGGTATCCATTTTTTTTGAAGACGCTTAGTAAGTAATTGTCGTCCGTTCTCTTCAACACTGGAGTAGTGCTACAGTGTAATTGAACTCCTTTAAACAATGTCTGCACACAGTTGTGCAGAGGACGACGAAAGCTTCCCAATTAAACAATCAACCAGCTCCTCAGAGAACACACCGAATTCCAAATTTTTAACGTTCATTATTTCAAAAGGTTTGGAAAGAAGGAAAGGTGCCTACCTATTGGAAGGAAAGGCTACCTAGTCAAGCTGTCAAAGGAGGGCGGCCTAGGCCTGTAGAAGAACTGGTGTGGAATAATGCTGTTGTCCACGCCAAGGAAAATACTATTTCGCATCGTCCTGGAGAGAATAAAGCATGCACTGGATACAGAACTCCACCAGCCGGAACAAGCTGGATTCAGGAAAGGCAAATCTTGTATCGATCAAATTGAAACTCTACGCATCATCATAATCACAGAACAAAGCATAGAATGACAGTCAAACCTCTCTCTACCTCAACGACTTCTTTGACTTCGAAAAGGCCTTCTACATACAGCATTGACAAAGAAGAAATTTGGGAAATGCTTCAACACTACGGCGTGCAGTACCCAAGTATTTATCAACCTCATTAAACAGCTGGCTGGCTATATGACAGTGGCACGTGTCAAGTGATCTGAAACGGAAAACTCAGCGAGACGTTCGAAGTGCATACAGGAGTAAGACAAGCTGGCTGCCTATTATCTCCGATGATATTTTTAATTGTGGTGGACTGGATTATGCGACAGACTGTTGGGGGCGAGGAGTCAGGAATACCCTGCACTGACTGATAAGAAGACTCTAGAATATCCGGACTTCGAAGATGATTTATGTTTAATGTCACACAAACTCGAAGATATGCCCGATCCCCTCAATTTGCTTCTAAATATTTGTTGAGCAGTCAATCGGCTCTTGCTCGGTCGGTTTGTTACACTTCAGACTTTCGTATTACTAATTCTTTTTGGCCGGCCGGCCATTTGATCTCCAGTATGGAGCCAGCCAGCCAGCCAGCGAATGAGGCAGTTGTTGATGAAAGTCTGCAACAGGCTGTTAGAAATTCTTTTCGTGACGCACTGGCCAAGAAGATAATATTAGCTTTGTATCTGTACCAAACGGATCAGAAATAAACTCAACAATTTAGCATTAGGAACACAGTATATCCAGCGAAGAGACTGTTTTCAATAACGAATTTATTATCAAGCTATACAATCGTATACATATATGGTTTTCAAGAAATTATATCCGGTGAGGGAGGGAATTGGATCAAGGGTGTGAAATAATAACAGCAAAAGCTTTCCACATGGATACGAGAACATATTCCAGCAACATGGTTTTAGAAGAGAGAAATAAAAAGTGTTCAAAGCTCTATTCTAGAACACCTGGTCGACTCCTGTGTCACTCCACATCAACCCTCACCATGATTTTAAGATCATCATCTATCGAATCCACGCTAACTTGCCGGCCACGTTTTCTTCGTTACAAACTTCTAAAGACAGTGGAGGCCTTAGCTATTTCACTCATGAATTCAAGCCAGACCTACCTTTGTGTACAAAAGAAGTATGTACAATCCCTAATTCTGCCTTAGCTGTAGAGGGATAGACATTTATTTATTTATGTATTTTGTTTATTTAGTTAATCTATGCACTCTTGCCTCAATACTATCATTACTATTATCATTAATATTGCTGTTCTCACTTAGAATCGTTTCCGCTCATCTCACTTGTCATTCTAAATCCAAAATTATTGTTATTATTTTTACAATATTGAATTCTATCCTATCGAATTTCACACTGTGCGTCGGCGGCACAGTGGTTAGGACGCTCGCCGACTATGCACATGGTCCGGGGTTCGATCCCAGGCCGACGAACTCCTTTACCTCGCTAAGCCAGTAATAAGACTGGTAAAGAGGGAAGGTTGGGCATGAGGCCAGCAACCCTATCCCGTAAAAATAATCTCTGCTACTGAAACTTCAAGCCTTTAGCCTGAAGCCCTATGTTCCACTGGGAACGTGAAGGAATAAAAAAAATTTCACACTGTTATGCAACATTTTATATTAGCCTGCTAACCCTTTTAATTATACACCCCCTCCCAACAACATTTACACATCCATCTTATTAATTATTCGACATATGACACTAATTGTTTTGCTACTTGACATTTAACTATGATTATAATGACAAATATTTGAATTGCGTGTCATACTGCTACTGTTATTATTTCATGTATTCACACCCTTGATCCAATTCCCTCCCTCACCGGATATAATTTCTTGAAAACAACCATATATATGCGACTGTACAGCTTGATAATAAATTTGCTCTCAGGTATTGGTTTTGTAGCGATTTTGTTAGATTAGTAGAAGCATTTCATCATGAGCTGACATCAGTTACATAACCGGGTGAGTGCCTACTGATGAAGAGCCGACCCCAGACTAGGCTGACGAAACAGCTGGTTGTGGCTGGTTTTACAATGGTTCTCTAATCACCCAATGTCACTGCTCAACATGAAATCCTGCAACCAATAAATTCATCGTTGAAAAGAGTCTCTTTGCTGGATATATTTTGCTTTTATTGCTACATCGGGAATTATTAAATTATTGAGTTCTAAGTTCTTTTATTCAAATAATATAAGCTGTTACATAATTAGTGAATAAATTTTTCTTAAAAGTGTGAAAATTACTCACTTCCATATTTTTCCTTTATCACATCGATAAGGGGATGCGTATACCGTGAATTGACGCGTTTGTATAAAACTAAAGCCTGTCGAGAATTCCAGGAGAATTTGGCGTTACTTCAAGAAAAGGCTGGATACAAGTAAGTTATGCCTGAGGTTGTTTTTCTTTGATTTTTCTTATTTTGCGTTATCAGAATTAATTGTTACCAAATAATTCGTTCCAGCGCCTCACTGTATTCATCATAATGGTTGTATTAAAAAGACGAATGCGACGAAAGATGAAAATCTTGCTTTTCGACGAGGTCACCATTAAACAAGGCTGTACATTCTTGTATTTATAGAGTAAATGGGTGAGAAAGAATTTCTCCGTAGACGACTTTCGAAATCTCTCAGTAAAATACACTTCGTCGCCCACCAGCTTACGAGTAACATTCTCCTGCAGGAAACTACTACTCCTCCAGCGTGTGAAAGACAAGCTGTTGTATTGGGCCACTTCAACATGCATATACAAGTTCACTTGTTCGTGTTGAGTCGGATACATTGGCCATACCATGCATCCGCTTCTTCTTAGCAGTCTGAGATTTCGCCTTGTTGATGCGTAGACCAAATGCTTCGATGTGTCTTAGAACTGCGTCTACATGCTCTACATGGTCACTCTCGCTCGTACTGTATATCAATAGATCATCTCCATAAACTTCGACGTTCCTCAAATTCTTAAGCAGCAACGTCGTTAATAGTCTAAATGTAAACGTGTCACCTGACAATCCAAAAGACAAGCTTCTAAACCGGTATTGTTTCTGTCCCAAAAAGAACGCCACCTTATCCCTATCTCCTTGTTTTATTGACAGTTTGCTATTACCCTGATTGCAGATCTAAGACTGTGAACAGCTTCACACTTTGTAAGAGATCTAAATCTTTTGCCATGCTTGGCATCGCACACGGTCTCAGCTCTGTTGTGCCGTTCAATTTTCCGAAGTCAACACAAAATCTGTATTTCCCGTCGCTTTTCTAATAGCACTAATAGCACTGGAGAACTATATGGGCTATCGGCTTCTTCAATAATGTCATCCCTCAACATCTCTTCAACCTGTCTTGCAACCTCGCTTTCTAAATGACACGGGACTCTTAGAGACATGAATGATCTCACTTTATCGCTTGTAACTGGAATTTCGTGCCTCAATTTATCACAGTAACCGTATGGATCTCCATCTCCATCGGAGGAATGGTCGCATTTGCTAAGTAACGTTGTTGCACTTAGGGCTTCCAACGCTGCAATCCCTGCAACCTCACTATTCTCGTGCGTGCTGAAACACCCATAATTCGTGACGACAACCCTTTTCTTCACGTTAATCACTGAATCTACATCTCGCAGAACGTCTGCTCCAAGGATTGTTCGGCGCAACTCAGGTACAAACAGCAATGGAAACGTCACGTTATCCTCTCCAATACTAACCCTGCAGTCTGACACTTCTGCGATTCTTAACACGTGGTCACCAACTGTCTGCACTATCATCGAACACAGCCTTATACTCTCATGTAAGCTCTTATCTACAAGTGACACTGCTGCCTCTATGTCAACTGAACACACTAATTCGCGGTCATTTACGCGCAACTTCCAATACATCATCCTCTTCTCAATCGCTCCTATTACCTCTAGTCTCAGGGAACAGAAAGAAGACACTGTATAACCTTAAGAACTTTTCTTCTGTCGTCTCTCTCAGTTTGCCGCATGCAAAACACTGGTCTCTCCTCACACTCATTCTCAGCGTGGCCACTTCACATTGCAACTCTTCAATTTGTCGCTCACACTGCTTGGCTTTTGGTGGTTCTATCGCGACAACCGTCTTGCTTAATAACTGCCTGGCCATCTTTGCGAGCCCCACAATGTGCAGTGGCTGTATGGCGTGAATCAGATGTAGCTGTTGAGATATGTGTTCTGAAACACTCTCCATAAACTGAGACGCCAACATTTGTGGCTGAAAATCTTCGTGCAGTGTTGGCAGCGCGCGACGCAGAAGGTTTGTCTGGGTCAGTACCAATACCAGAGGATCACTGTCAACTCCCAGTTTCGTGGTGCGAAGCTGTTGCATCGCCCATCCTCTGTCCAAATCTAGTAATGCAGATAGGAATTAGGACCGTAAATGTAACAGAAATAAACGGGGAGGTTGGATAAGAAAGGTAATTGGATAATCATTATCGGTGGGAATGACTTTTCATGACAGCTACGGTAGAGACAACGGTTGCACTGGACGTTTTTCTTTTGGACACATAGAGTAGTGGGCTTGAAGTTTTGGATCATCAGTGTCCAGATGTCTTGATTTCACTCCCTTTGATTGGTTTGATCGCATCTTGTATATATGACTTTGAAGGACTTTCCAAATGGCGGCTGAATGTCAAGAATTCACCACAGGGCTTCTGTTATCGAGCTTTGAGATTCGAAGGAATATCTCATCCCCGTCTGAAGACTATTCCACATTTAGTGAATAACTTTTGTCAGTAGAAAAGATCCCAGCAGTGAAACGGATACTTATTCTGATATTTCGTATCGTTATTGAGTTCATTGTGAAGCCACATTCACCGGTATTCAGAACATGAGATAATGTGGGAATAGACAATTAAGTGACATACTAATATGTTTATAATCAGTAAAATATAAGTTCCAAGGGATATGGTGAGGATGAACTATACTTATCAATGTAAGACAAAGATGGATACCTCAAAATACAAATAAACAAACAAACAAAAAAATGAGACACACTGAATATACGTTTGAGGGCTAACAGATAACAAATGTGACGATAAAATAAAGAGCTTAAATAGACAACGGTAATCAAATGTAGAGACACTATTTTTTAAAATAAATAGGTCTGATATGATGAGGTATCATAAAAAACCATCAATAATACATATTATGAGGTTCTGATGGACGAAGAGGTGAGTTATTGACGTATGAGTACATGAAGAGAGAGGAGAGTGATGCGAGAGAGATGAAAATGTGGATGATGTGAATCAGTGACGAAACATTGGTGGAGCCTTGAACATAATGCAGACATGCGGCTGATGCCCTCTAGGAACTAAAGGAAGCAATAATAATAGCTATATGGTCTCTTAGCTCACGTTGTAACGAAAACGTTCTGATGAAGACTCCCAAACTAGGATGAAACAACTATCAAGTACTCCCTGGATTTGTGCGTTAGTGGTTCAATTGTACAATGCTCACCGACCACATATGTGATCCGGAGTTCGATTCGCAGCCAACACACCTAGATTTCATATGGCCCGCAATACTCTCCGGAAGGAAGGAAGACTGGGGTGTGAGGCTACTAGCTACCTCACTCCATAAAACAAAAATGAACACTACCACTACTGAAATTTCAAAGTTCGAGCATGAACGCGAAGGAATAAAAAAGTGGAACAAACTAAGTGAAAAGGAATAAGAAGGACATAATAAGAATTTTACAAGTATATGAGACAATTGCATCACTTGATCTCCTTAGAGCAGGTCAGGGTAAACAAAGGAGATGAATGTAGTTTTATGTGTGCACTGACCAGGTTCATTCGTGTTAATCCCTTTAGTTTCATCTATGACTAAGAGACGTTATCATGTACCTAAAGGCGTATTATTCGGTACTTGATATATAACCATAAATGACTCATCTGTTTTGATACGGTGTCCACTATGTACTAGATTAGAATAATAGGCAGTGTTTATCGATTCAGTCACTCCTATTCCAAGCCAAGTTGAACCATGTCCGTCAGTGAGTAAACATAAATTCATCTGAATACGTCATTGAATTCAATTTTAGATTTCCCCATCGACTGATTGGACTGAAGTGCTCGGTCTCAGGTTGACAGGTCAGGTCCGTGCGCACATGCTTCAACGATGTCTAAGCGTGTAATTAGAAGTAAATTGGTGGATGGTGACCAACACTGGAATCCAGGACGCGCATTCCGTCCTATTCGTGACTCGTCCACCAGCTGGATGTACCTGCATTGAAATCCTTAGTACACACGCACATAATTCTACGACTAAGACAACGAAGTGAATTCTGGTTAGACCACAGATTGTTATCAGTTAGAGAACCATTGAAAAGCAGCTGGGGGAGTAGTGGACAGTTGTTTCGAGCCAATTTGGGACTAATCCACAGTACTCACTGACCTCAAGGGGGTTGACGTGGGACCTTCCGGTTACAAGGCCAGCTAACTCGTATCCCATTCAGCCACTCACTGGGAACCAACGCGATCCAATGGTCAATGCATGAATTTTAACTTTCACAGCTATATATATATATATATATATGTAGGTTATGATAATCACAAAACAAGAGATTTTATCTAGAATCTTTTGTATCGATAAAAATTTCAAAATAACTTTTTGATATCAGTTAAATTTTCAAAATAAATCCACATTTGCATAAATGATGAGAAGTGTTTTTATCTTGAGAAATATAAAATGGGTCATAAAAGTTTCACTTCTAGGCAAAATGAGAAACTCTTTCCTCTGTTAAATTCTAAATGCTTCGAAGAAACCTTATACATCAATAAATAATGGCCAAATATTCATAATTTAGATTGAACCGACAACATTAATCCTCTGCAGTAACAAGTTTCAGAGTTCTCATTCACAGATATGATAATGATAATAATGTATATTTCAAAGTAGACCTAATGCTTTACAACAAACAAAACAAAAATAGTTTTTTTAAGTTTTCAGCATCACAACGACTAAGAAAGAAAGTGAGAATCTAAAACTGTCATGATGAATACGAATTAGAGCAAGTGAGGAATTGCAGTTGTAAATGTATACACATTGTTTAGATGGATGTGATTATCTGGCGCGACATAGGCTGGCGTTTGTGCTAAATATGTATCACGAATTGGTAGAAGTTGGAATTCATGGAGTGACTGGCCATTGGATCGAATCCCAGTGGCTGATTAACGGTCTACGAGCCCGTCTCATAACTGGAATGGTCGTGAATTCGGTCCTCCTAGCGGTTCTATGACTGATTTCATCTCGTCATCAATCCTGTAAACAATCAATGAAATCCCTGCAAACCAACACATCACACTTATAATCATCTCTTGAAATGTTATTTTGCATGTGCACAGCAGAAGTGAATTCAACTCAGCTTATAGTTATTGTGTAGATAAATAAATTATATCTTATCAATTTCTAGGCTCCAGAATTTAGGAAATTCGCTCTTTAGATAAGGTCGACCTCCTCCTCTTCCTCCATGTCACTCTCGCGCACTGACGACCAACTAACTCGTCGCTTCCCACACATTCATGTTACACTCAAGATAGATAGAGACAGCCTGGTGTGTGATGTTACCAGTCACTTGATGGTTTTTCCTCTCACAGTATGGCCACAATCAAATACACCTCCATTTCTTCATGCATATTTGTTGCACACAACTGGTTCCTGCTGGGTTCGGTTAGGTTGATTCGTTGGTTCATTGCCAGAGTTCCCTGTTGCTAATCCTTTCTAACCCGCCATCTGGTCTTGAGTGATCAAAGTATTGACCGAAGACAGCTGTTGATGAGGGTGTGTAGTTTGTTCGAAGTGACCCTCGTGACGCGGCGCGGTGCCAAGTCCCTGATCCGTTTGTAGTAGCACTGAATTCACATTGCAGTTGAAAATCCGTATCTTATATTTCATGCTGAATTCTGTTAATCTACACACAGACTTGAGGAGAGTAATGAAAGCTTGCCTTGCTTTCCTAATTCCCCCTTGTTTGATATCCTCATCAGTTTCGTCTGCCTATAGTTGAAACGATGCTTCCCAGGTAAATAGTTAGGTCGGTGGGTAAGGGAGGTTGCTTCTTTCAGATTTATCCTATTTATGCTGATTTTTGTCTGTTGTCTGCTGTTGTTGGTTCTGTTGCTAATGACCAGGAATCTTCATCATCACCTCTGCTTTCTCCATGTTCACATGAAGTCCTTTCTTCTCTGGATGCTTCTTCTATCACCAACTTGTTGCCTATTCACTTGCATATCTTCCAGCAGTTTGTGGGAAATCAGACATATTTCACATCAGCGAAATCTCGATCTAGATCCTTTAAGTGTTTTTTTGTATGGGTCGATTTTATGCCAGTCTCTTTGGTTGTCTGTCTGTCTATCCATCGCATTATCCAGTCTACCACAATCGGGAGATTAATCATTGAAGATAATGGTAGGCGGCCTTTTCTTAATCCCGTCTTACCTTCGAAGGATCCTGTGAGTTTTCCATTGTGGATTGCTTGGTATGCAGCATTATCATACAACTGTTGGATGAGGTATATAACTGTTAGCGGTACCCCGTATAGCGAAGTAGTCGCCAAATCACCTCTCGATCGACGCTGCGCTGCCGGAGGCCTTTTCAAAGTCAATGAATTTGAGATAGAGAGCAGGCTGCCATTCCAAGCTCTGTTCAGTGATTTTCTGTAGTGTGGCGAATTGATCGACGCATGGCTTCTTTCTCCTGAATCCAGCCTGTTTCGGTCGAAGTTTTTCATCCAGGGCATGTTTGATTCTCTCCAGGATGATGCGGCCTAATATTTTGCTTATGATGGAGAGGAGCATAATTCCGCGCCAATTCTTGCATTGACTTAAGTCTACTTTCTTTGGCTGTTTGAATAAGTAACCTTTCTTCCAATCCTCAGATACTTTACCTTCTTTCCACTCCTTCTTCAGTAGTGCTGTCATCAAGTTCGCAGATGTCTCTGGGTCCATTTTCAATGCATCTGCGGGGATTCCATCTGGTCCCGTTGTTTTTCTAGTTTTTAGCAGCAATAATAATAATACAATTTATATTTCTGCCTTATCAGTCTCAAAATTAATGACTTCGTTACCCTCATCTGGTTTCTCCTGGAGTTGAATTATACGAGGGAATGCATTAATGCGTAATAATAATAATAGTCCAGTACTTATTCAATACAAATTACTGGATTACAGGATTTCATCATGAGCTGACAATGGTTGGTTAGTGAACCATTGGAAAACCAGCCACAGGATGTGCTGGACAGCCAGCCGCTTCGTCAGCCTAGTTTGGGAATGGCTCGTCAGCAGTGCGCAACCACCTCACTGGGGTTTGAACTCAGGATCACGTTCTGGTTACAAGGCCAGCGACCTCATAGAGCGTTGAACAGCCACTGGTACCCTATCCATTGGCCAGCCCATGAATTCAAACTTCTGCCAATTGACGCACGATATAGCACCAATGTCATTGATGAAGGTGATTATTTGTCCTCAAGCACGATCTGCTGTACCCTACTGATCACGACTGGAAATACTTAAGATATACCTATGCAGCAATAATATCGATAATATTTAGACCACACCGTTTTAAAAAAAATTGGTATATAAATCCTAAGGAATTTTTAACATTTAGTGTTTGCAATATATAAATCGTCTGCATCAGTGTTGGCCTTCAAACACACACACATACACACCACTCATTTTAGACAAGATTACTGCGACTTTTTAAAATAAGTGAAGTGTAATTAAAATCAAACATTGATCTCTAATCCGCTGACGAAATCTGTTTGATTGCCTTTACACTTATTGATGATTTACTTGTCGACCCCCCCCCGTCCGCTAACATCTTTCAACACTTCTCAAGATGAAGATAAGTTTTGACTTATTTATCTGTGTACAGCTGCGTTATGTATACAAAAGTTAACGGCGGGGGCGGGATGGCGGAGAGCGAGGATAACTGTAGTTATTGACAGAGGAGTGGAATGAAAAACAAGAGACCTGTAAATAAAGAGCTGATTATGTAGATATAAGCTCAAACAAAGAAAAATGCATATGTAAATTCAAGGTTTGATTCAAATAGGAAGTTGTGATCATTAGTTTAGAGCAGGTTGGGTTTGATAACAAATACTCGCCGCCATTGATGACATTGGCTAGTGCCAGTCGCGCTTTATCGTACTTGAATTGCTAGAAGTTGGAATTCATGGACTACCTGGCCATTGAATCGGCTCCCAGTGACTTTTTAATGGTCTGTGGGCTAGCTCACCATTTAATAAAAAGATCCTGGATTCGACCCCGATCGGTGAGTGCATACTGCTGGCGAGCCAGACCCAAACTGGGCTGACGAAACAGCTGGTTGTCCAGTACTCCCTGTGGCTGGTTTTCCAATGGTTTTCTAACCAACCAATGTCAACTCATGATGGAAACCTGTAACAGATTTAAATTATTTTACACTGACTTCTGTTAAGATATTTCGTTAGGTTTCAATGTATTATTGTTATTATTCCTTTGGGTTCCAAAGTGGAACATAGGGCTGGCTTCAATTTTGTGCCATCCTCTTCAGCTGACTAGCTGAAGCTCTCATCTCCTCGTCCCCTTTCTCGGCACACGATCCCCTCTATGTCACCCTTGGACCGATGACCTACTCGTTCGTCGCTTCCCGTTGAGGTACTACTTGAGTAATGGATGGCCTGCATAGCACGCGATGTCATTCGACCGATGGCCTCTTTAACGTATGCCCGATCAATGCATCTCCATTTTCTCCTACATATTTGCTGAGCAATCAAACATTTGTTGGTTGGTTTGTTCCACTGCAGAGTTTCTTGTTTCTAATTCTTGCTGGCCGGCCGGCCATTTGATCCAGTACGGAGCCGGCCAGCCAGCCAGCGAAGGCGGCAGTTGTAGATGAAAGTCTGCAATTGGCTACGCGCAGTGCAAGTTTCTGACCTGTATAGAAGCACTGACCGACTTGACATTGGTGTTGAATAGAATCCGACTCTTGTTCCTTATCAGTGGTAAATGTAAACTAATACAAATTATCCGTAAAAAATTCGTTTAGATGAGATACAGAGTTTAGGATACAAATAGATTCCATGATTCATTTTCTTAATCCTCAATGTTTGGTTTGTCTGATTTGTGAAAGGTATTAGGATGACTGCTGCTCATGCATACCTATGCTTCTTCTTGTTATTGTTCAAAAGAATTTTTTGTATTTCACAGAATTATCACTCTACAGCAAGACTATAATAGAAAATTATTCTTACCTTTTACTTTCATTTTTCCACTATGCATGAAATACCAGTGAACACGATCTACCTCAACTGCAAGTTGTATCAGACTTCTTGAAAGGTGAGTCTCTTCTTTTTCTAGTTGTTGTTGTTTTATACGCCAGTATTCAACTTTAAGTGTTTGTGTTTGACATTCTGATATACACAGAGACCTAATTTTCTACATGTCCGTCGCACAAGAGTGTTTGTACTTCTCTGAACCAACACAATTATCGATATATCACCTGACTTTCTCTCAACCTACTACTGATGACCTTTGAAATCCTATTGATTGTTCACTGTCTTAATTTATCAACGGCATTCATGATTCTCAAGGTCATTTTAAACACATATATATGCAAGCGCTGTCAAACTGTTTATGACAGTTGCTTTGAGATATTAAAAGCTTGTAAAGTAGTTGTGTTCTCTGAGTTACCTATCTGGATGATTTATTTGCGATGATTTCATAATTGCCCTCCAACTAGGCAACACCTTAAGCGCGTTAACTTCAATCTGAATTGAAGTGAGCTTTAAGATTTCTCCACCAGTTTATTAGTCATCTCTCCCGTTGGGTGACATTCAACGTGATTGGTTGTTTTTGTATGTTCTGAACTCACATGGACCAAATGCGCAGTTAGAACAGCAACAATTCAATAACACAAAAAACGAGTTTTATAGAAACACTGTTCAAGAGGGCCAGCCAGCCAGGACTCATTGCAACACTCCCACCTTAAGGGAAATGGAAAAAAGATATCTTATGGACGTCTTCCAAAAGAATGGATATCCACGGAACTTCATCAAAAGACATCTACCACCAAGCCAACCAACCTATCAAATGAAAGGCCCCCTCCCCAAGTAAAACGCAAAGAAAATCGCCCTACCATATATAAGAGATGACATCTCAGAAATCACTGCAAGAATCTCCATATCTTTAGGAATTGACTTCGCACACAAACCAACAAAATCACTTCACTCAACTGGCTCTATGTGTCAACCAAAAGACAGACTCAACAACGAAAGGAGATAAGAGCAAAATCATTGACAAAATAAGTTGCACCTACTTCAATAGAAATTGAAGTGAAGTATGCGCTGAGTATGTTGCCTAGTAGGAGGGCAATAATGACAGCTTCTCAAATAAACCATTCATCCAGCTAGCTAGCTCAGAGAACACAACGATATCAATAACAGTTAATTAAATAAGAGATCCATCAAGAGAACAGAGGAAATATGCAGGAAATCAACACTTAAAGGTGAAAAGCAATTTCTTGTCATAAAACTCACGATTTCTTTTCATTTCATGCATATTTATATGTATTCATAATATTCTCATAATAACAGATAACAAATTTCGTTAATTGGTTGAAAAATAAATTAAGATTTTAAATCAGCAAGTTGAGTGATCTCAGCGAATTGACAATGGGGTCGAGGGTCGAGCTCAGCTAAAATAAAATATTGAACGAAAGTGAAATTAACAACAGTGGTAATGAGTGGGGGGAAGAAAATATGATGTAATCAAGAAACAAGGAAGCAACCTATTCACCTGCTCATGTGGAGGAGCTAGGTATTTCAGTCATACCCAGGGTCTGCTACTCAAACGTATCATCGAACACTTACTCACAGTCATGGTATTATAAAGGAGGAAATAGCCCTTTTCCCAAAACTCTTCTCTGGAACACCTGATCAAATCGGAGCACCAAGTAAACTCACACAAAGTAACTACAAAGTTATCCACAGAATGTGTAGGAATCTTGCTGAAAGAGTACGATGAATCAAACTTCTTCAAACCCCGAAAAAAATCAGTGGCGATTCATCACATATCAAAACTGAACTCGGCATAGAAAAGAGGTTTGTTCAGTCATTTAAATGTACACAGTGGATCTGACCTATCTTAACACCAAATAAATTATTTCGTTTCGTCTTTTTCTTGCTTGCTTGTTTCTTAATTGTACAATAATTTCTTCCTCCACCCCTTATAAAATATCTACGGCTTATCACAACTGTTGTTAACATGACTTTTGTTCAATTTAAATTTTAGCTGAGCTCTACTCAGCCCCGTCGTCAATTAGATTATGTCACTCAACTTGCTTATTTAATCTTATTTTAGTTTCTATACTTTTTTATTCCTTTTGCGTTCCCAGTGGAACATCGAGCTTCAAGCTGGAGGCTTGAAGTTTCCGTAGGAGTGGCGTTCGTTTTTACGGGATAGGGTTGCTAGCTAGCCTCATGCCCAACCTTCCCTCTTTACCAGTCTGGTAACAGGCTTAGGTAGGTTAAACAGTGCGTCGATGGCCGACTAGGGATTGAACTCCGAACCACCTGAGTGTTTGGCGAGAATTCTACCACTGTGCCTGATTACATTGTGGTTTAAAATTTTTTCTCATGAAGTCTCACAGTGTTTGTTATCTACAGTAATACGAAGGATAGTAGATTTCAAGAATACACTTACTTATAAATCATCAAAACGCTCAGCTGAAATAATATTATGTCCCATTAGTAATTCTTCAAACTCTAGACCAGCTGAATAAGTCATGTGAAATGAAAAGGAAACTAAATAACATTCAACTAGAGAATAACAAAACAATGGTTCGTTTTGATGTAACTAGACTTTATACTAATATACCAATCAATATGGCAGCCTTAGAAGCGGTTGAATGAGAACTAACTGCTGATCGCGAACTTAATCATATGACAAAATCGCCATTGAGAATATTATTTAAGGAATTCAGCAATGCCTCACATCTACTATCTTCAGATTCCAAGGCAAAATATATAGACAAACAGAAGGTGTAACAATGGGATGGATCAGCAATATCCCCAATCATAGCAGATATCTTTATGGACAGCTGGGAAAATATCGCTCTGAATACATCAACCTAATCCTACTCCAAAAATATGGTGGAGATATGTGTATGACAGTTTTACACACACTGTTGAAAACAGAATATATATCTCTCTAGCTTCTTCAGACACACACACACATAAACTCACTAGTATAGGGAATAAAATTCACATTTGAATCGGAAAATGAAGAAGGAGAATTAGCTATGTGTTAGATTGTAAAATAAAACGAACACAAGAAGGTAAGCTGTATGCAGACTAGCGTTTATAAAAAAACAACGCATTCTGCTGACAGATATATAGACTTTAATTCATCTCATGTGGTTGTTATCTGTATGTCTAGGCACACTTAGTTAAGCGTCTAACAACAACCGAGCAACAACATTACTAAGTAGTACAACAAAAAGCCTAAATGATGAAATAAAACAGATAAAAAATGGCTGGTTGGTGTCACGTATCTTAACTGACTATCGTATTAGGTTAATTAAGAAGATCAGGAAAGGTCAAAATAAAAATAAAAACAATGGTGAAACTAATAATGATAACGTAAATAAGAAAGAATATAAGGCATCTATAGTAGTTTCATCATATAAGGAGGGAGGCAATTCATCTGAAACTCTCACTACGTAGGGTTCTCAATTATGCAGGAATTCGAGTGGTGTTGGCATTCAAACCTACAAACTCACCCACTCAGATAGGACAAGCTCTATAGGTAGGTTAAAGGATCCTGTAGGTTGACCCCATTAGGGAAAATATTATCATTTACAAAATACTTTGTAATGACTGTGAGTTAGGTCAACTACCTACACAGATGAGTCAGACCAGTAGATAAGGCAGGAGGATTCAGTTTGCCTGTCAGAAAATATGAATTTACCTTGGGTTAGAATTATTGACTCAGAGAGCCAGTCCCAAACTAGGACGGAGGTAACAGCTGGCTGTCCACTACTCCCTGTGGCAGGTTTCCCAATAGTTTTCTGAACAACAGATGTCAGAGCTCATGATATAATCCTGTAACCAATAAAACAAAATCCCTTCAAAATCAATAATTGAAAGTCAACTGTTATGAAGTTAAAACTCACCTAACTTTGGATGATCATTAACAATGATTAGATTGGATGAAAATGATTTCAATCGTTCAACAAGTTCATCTGACTCTTCTAAAGGAACTTTAACATGAATAAACACTTCCAGTGGCTTGAGTTCAGAGTTGATTGCATTTGACAACTTTTGACTTCGACTTTCAATATGTAGAATACTGATGCCCTTATCCTGAATGTGTATGAAATGTATGAAAGAAGAAACTGAACATTGATTGCTTAATCAAAGCAAACTTCAAAGAATTATCAACTTCATCATCAGGTTCTATTCATAATAATGGCAGAATGGGATTGTTATTACGGACAACATTTGTGGGTTTTTTTTTAAATAAAGAGAGTAACATTGAATCATTTGGATCGGGATTCCCAAAGTTATTTGCAATTAGATTGTTGTTAATAGATTATAGTCCAATATACATATGTAGGTGTTTGTGTGTGTGGTCATATATGAAATTGTGAAACTCAGCTGAACACCAATATTACCAAGTAGATGTCATTATGAGTGACAATGAATGTGCAATAATAAATTCTCTTGAATCATGTTCACACTAAGTTCCACTGAGATGGATGAGTGATCATATCAAAGATGTGGTAGAGAAGAAAAGGGGTGTTTTAGGGTTGAAATCTATGTGCGTTGAATGTGTGTCAGTGTCAGTGTGTAAGTTAACCACTACGTTGAAATAAGAAAACAAAAGGTTAGTTTAGACAAAGCAATGAGAATATGTAACTTGTCTGAAGGCGACTGATTTTGTCAGGTTGTTGGTGTCGCCATGGGAAGTCCGTTTATCGTAGGATCTATTCGCAAATGTGTCACTTCACAGAAGCTATGTAGATTACATTGCAATCATAAGTGATAAGCCATCTGTTCTGTCACCTAAATTTTAAATCCTATTAAATGAAGTTCAGATTAGCATATCACTTACGTCTGTAGAAGAGGAAGATAATTGTTTATCTTTCCCAAACATTTGCTTAGTCGACGGCCTGATGGATCGATAAAACGATCTATTCACAGAAAACCTACCTGGACAACACAGTATCTCAATTATCACAGTTTCTGTCCTATTCGGTACAAAAGAGCCTTAGTGAGTGAGGTGCCTCTTCAGTAGAATCCCACGAATATGCCCTGATGACACACTTGATGACGACGAAGAAAGAAAGTTGACACAAAATCTGGTTGATGATAATTATCCAGACAAGTTCATTAGGAGACATAAAGTGGTCAGTGGAACACGAAGACACACTCTACAACTCACCTCCTCTAAGTAAGACATGTACATCAAGCTACCCTATATGGACGAGGTGGGGTAATCATAGCAGCTTGACAACTAGACAAATATTGAACGCTGTTGTGGTTAAAACGACTTTGATGCAGCTAATATCATAATAATTGAGAATGTGAAGCCATCTAAGCCCTTAGAACATGCGAAAATTGTGTCACATCCCACTGTATTTACTAATTTGAATGTACGTGTGAACACACATACATTGGAGGGAGGACTCATCGATCTCTTCGAGTAAGGGCTGGCTTCAGAGCATAGTCCTGAATGGCTTTACAAGCAAACAGAATCCCCATAGTCCATTAATTAATGGTGAGAAGAGACGATGAGCTAGCTCCTCTATTTCGAAACATATTAGAGAGTAGACAGGATATAAAACTGATGTTGACCCATCTCTTACACCTATCTATAGAATGTGTTCGGTAGAGGGTGTATCCTAAAGTTTGTGGAAGTTAGTCCTGGCTAGATAGAAAGTTCAAACCACCTTTATGGATTGAAGGAACAATTCCATCACACTGCACCTACCGTCCTCGGTAAACTTTGTTTTGATACCAGGCTGAGCAGATGTACTATGTTACCTCTCTTCTGTGGTTTAGTGATCTTCACTGTTATTTCGAACTTCAATATGTCCTCCTTTTAACTTGACCTAACTTGTCTATTTTCTCACCTCTTTATTCATTTCATATATATCTGTGTTCTCCTATGACAAGTCCGTGTGTGTGTGTTGATGGTTTAGATTGTTCGAAATAGGTGTTGCACGCAAATACATACACAATACACGATTCAGACAAAACTGCGTCTTCTTATTGCTTTGTGTCTAACTAACTAAATTCATAAAGGGGAGCTAATTGTTTTACAAAGGTTAGTTAATGCAAGTGTAATGACAAGGGATAAGGGGATTCATATGTACAGGATGGAGAGCCATAATAAAAGGGTCGATGTAATAAGGTATTTATGAATTTACAAGCTCTATATCAGGCCAGAGCAGTAGAAGTTGCTGACTGGACCTGATTCTCCTGCACACACACACAGAGTACCGGTTGTCTCAGGCGAATCACGATAGCCTCTGCTGTTTGGAATACCACTTGTGTTTTCTGTAATAACAATCACATTGTGTCTTTCTTATGAATGGATATATAACTGTAGAACCTGAAGATGATGAAGGCATCAAAAATGTGAATGTTCTTTGTTCAATCATAATCAATATTTAAATTGATTCAACTCTTCTGCTTTCTTCCTTTTATGTTTTACTGAATTTTAGAGCGGAGTGGATTTTGCCTACGACCAGTTGCTGGTTATTTGTCTGCTCGTGATTTTCTTTCTGGTTTAGCATTTCGTGTATTCTACTGCACTCAGTATATACGTCATGAGAAAGATCCATTCTACACACCAGAACCGTAAGGCTTTTCTTTATTCATTTACTTACTTTTAGTGTGTTTGAGCATATATGTGGATGCAGTACAAGTCACTGGATGCAGTGGGGTTTCATTAACAGCTTTGGATAAAAAAAAACTTCAGTTTACTAGCTTAAAAGCTACTGCAATATGTAAACTCCTTTCAGGTGAAGTGCTTTCTATAAAACTGACTCATCATTAACCCATCGAGAATCTTATTCATAAACAAAATTATGAACAAAACAGTAAAGTAGAGGTAGTTTATCTGAAACGTGTAAGGTATTCATTCATCCATATTCTCACCACACGCACACGCACTTACACACTTTGTCATACACATTTACATAGAAGGCAACACAGCATAAATGATTGCGACATGAGTCAAATCATTTGCGGATCGAGGTCATAGATAAGGACTAAGAAGATGACATAAGAATTTGGGAGTAGTGGTGTGGTGGGATGGGGTGGATTAAAAAAGGGAAAAAGACAGGCGAAGGTGGAAGTATTATTAAGTCGATTGAACCTTGATTCTGAATAATGACAAGTAATTTTTGAGCACGTGAAAACAGATTTAAACTTTTTTATGAGTGAGGCTTCAATGAATTTTAGCGTGTGGCCCAAACTTTATATATATATATGGTGAAAGCTGGCTGCACTGTTAAGTCCCAAATCGGGGTCATGAGGAAAAACAATAACAAAGCTTAACCTTGAGGAACTCACCAACCAATCACAGCAGACTTAAAGTGTGCAAATACGATTCGCAGATATATGGCTTAATTTTCTGAGAAACGGTCACAAGCACTACAGAATAACTTTCAGCAAGAAAACAACCAATCGGAAGACGTTGCTTCTCGGCTGACAAGAATGTACATAAAAATCTATAAATATCTCTTGATTTCTCAATAAACGATCTGTTGCCTGGTGATTGTCTTCTGTCGCTACAAAATTATGTTCAGCTGCAAACTAAGTTCCCTTAAATGCCGCCCAGACTTTTGTTCAGTGATCAAGCTTCAGCCATCACTCCTCAAGGGTAAAGATATATAAACTTTATTTTTGGAAGCTGATTAGATCAGCCAGTCCTTCATTTCAGATTTCGGTGACGTTTAGTGATGTGGTAGAATTTGATTCCAAGTTAGATAAGTTTATTTCAAATATCACACAGTGATTAATGATAAAATAAAGTATTAACAACTGGATAACGCTCTGGACATAAATTATTGCCACTCATAATCACATCCATTTAGTCACATGGCTTCATAGTTTGATACTTGAATCTGTTTCTCTCTCTGCTCCTCTTCCTCTTGTTGGTTGTTACCTCTTTCCATATCTCCACTATAGGTGACGTTGTTGTGTCATTCCGATTACTCCAAGTGTGAGGTGTTCATCAATCGATGAACAAGACTTCAGCGAATAACCTCTCTCTGTCTCTCGCTCCACCTAACTAACTATATTTTTTCTTAATACTGTCACTCTGTCCCACTCACTCCACATTGGGATTACTTGCAAGTGAATGCAATGCTATGGCTGAACCATCTTCAAGGTTATTCAACTTACTCATCAGGGTCAATCATTCTATGTTTAGATACATCTTGATGTTCCAGTAATCTAGTTGATCCCGATCTACTAGTTTGACTGTCATATGTAATTGACCTCACTAACACTCGTTACATGGAATTCTATAAATTGTATTATTTTTCCTAATTGGATCTATTGGTTGGGTTCTGAAGCCGACAAAGTTTATCTCTGAGAGAGTTGGTAAGAAGCTGACACAAGAATGTGGGAGTGGTTGTGGATTGGGTTGGGGTGGGTTAAGAAAGATGAAAATAGAGGGAAAGGTGAAAATATTATAAAGTCAACTGAACTTTGGTTCATAGATATGACAAGTAATTTCTGAGCACATAAAAACAGATTCAATCCTTTTTATGATTGAGGCTTCAATGAATTTAAGTATGTGACCCTAACTATTGTATATGAGTTTAAAGGCATTATCGTAAACGACCTTGTGATCCATTTCTATGATATGCTTAGCGATAAGTGAAATTGGACATCTATTTCCAAGATGAATTGCATCCGGCGACCAGGTCTATTCCTGTAGCCACTTTGGAATGTGTTCTGTAGCCGTAGCCTTCACAGACCGATGCGTCCTCCATATGTACGTGTGACCAAACATACAGTGGGATGTGACACAATCGTTTGGATGTTGTGAGCGTTTACTCGTCAAAAAAATTTGTTCTCTCCGTGAAAATAAGTTCAACTGCAGAGTAAGTTGCATTGTGTGTCGGCCTTTATTTTAGTAATCACAAACCAAGAAACTTACAAAAGTATTGTTAGGTCTAGGTAGAGTTGGGTCCAGTTAAGTGACAACATAATACTACCATATTAGATGAGTTTATTTTAATGATGATCACACACAGAGTGATGATGATGATGCAGTATTAACAACTGGATGACAGACAGACAAGGTTTCGAGCATAAATTATTGCCACTCTCATAATCCCATCAATCAATTTAGTCACACATCGGGTCACAATTTTTCTTATACGTATATTTTCTTTCTTTCTGTCTTTCTATACAACTTCCCCCGTGATATTTGTTACCACTTTCCATATATATATATTTCTGCGATTGTACAGCTCAAGAGGAAAATGAATTCGCCGCCGCCGCTGCCGCTGCTGAAAAGAGACTCTTTGCTGAACACTGTGTTTTGTTTTAATTAATTAGATTGTATACAATTATAATGACTTAATAGCACCCTGGATATTTTCAAATTGATATCAGTGAATGCAAGAAATACCCCACAAACTGGATAATAACTGCACCTTTTTCTTTCTCATATTTCTGATTCTATTCAGTGACTGTGTACACGAACTGTTAGGTCATGTACCAATGTTAGCTGATCCAGGATTCGCTCGATTCTCACAGGAAATAGGCTTGGCTTCTTTGGGTACAAGTGATGAAGAAATAAAAAAGTTAGCTACTGTAAGTCTATTTTTGAGAGCTGTAAAATATTTTGACATTTCTTATGAACCTACTAGATGTAATCTGTTTGTGATGTAGTCTATGTTTATTTCTTTTTGTTGATACAGTCACATATACAGTGCTGACACACAAGTATCTAGAGCGAACAATTGTTTTCAATAAATTCTTCTTCAGGCTCTACAATTATAGATCCATTAATTTAAGCATACAATAGCCAGTAAAGACAAATTAGAATCATATTAGAAAGTGTATTGTGGAACAAGTATAAGATGGGATGGAAAAATAGTCAGATAGTTTTTTGATATGCAAGGTCAATGAGAACATGGGACAAAATGAGATGAAGTAATTTAATTTAATGATGTTTGTATATATATAAATATAGTCAACAGAAAATTACAGGTTTCGAGAGTGTGTGTAATCAGGGTGTGTGAGACAATATGAAAATAAACCAACGAATGGGACGGACTAGACATAAGTTCAAGGTTGAAAATAACGACAGTAAAGATGATTGTAAAATAATAACGATGATATGGTGTAAAATTACAAGCACTACTATTGAATGATTGTCAAATAATAATAATGAATATAATGAAGTGGGATGAACAGGATTTTGTAAATACGATAGCAAGTTAGAAAAGCACTACTTAAACCTAAGGTAATAAAATCATAAGAAAGGTCATGAAATCATAAAAGTCGAAAATGAACGATTGTCAAGGAACTTAGCCCTAAGTTCCTATCGTAATGAAGACTTAAGCGATTGAGCCGATAAATACTATGAGTTTTCTTCAACTTTAAATCCAAAACACCAGTATTCAAAGTTTTTATTCGTATTTAATTCCAGTCTTCTTTCAACTTGCAAGAGATCGTTCCATTCGCGCCTTCGATTGCCTGCCAATGGCTGCCAGACCCAGTAAAACAAACGTTCAATGTTCACTTCCATTGACACTCCCCGGCAAAAAAGGGTCCATCCCTTTTTTCCACAGCGGCGGTAACCTTGAACTGAACTGCCAATGCGGGAACCTGGGCCAATCGGGACTAGGCTAAAATTGGAAAAGCAAGACAAAAAAGTCCAACACACAGCAAACATACCACATCACACCGACACGCTCTCCCCGGCGCATGGGATCTGCGCTCTCTGACGACAATACCACCACTGATCTGGTTCACGAAGTATCGATTGTTTCATTCCACTCTAGCCCAATCCTCTCCCCGGCGTATCCAATCGCGTACGCTGACTCTAACTCTACTCGATTCGTTCACAAGTTTGGAAGCGAATTCAGAAGTACTTACAAAAACGTTACAAGATGATTCACACAATGCTACAACTATAAAATTAACCGACAATCAGATGAATCGGATCCCACTGAATTACTCAACACAAACATATGTCCAATCAATACATCAAATATTGCGGATTCTGCCTTGACGAGCTACCCTTGAAGAACTGTAGGACTTACAGCAGTACGCCTACATTCCTTCTCAGGTTGACGATCCAAGTGGAAGACGTCCGGACACAAACAAAATTAATCAACAGATAGAAGAGGGATGATACCAATTGATTATATACAACAAGAACATATGTACAAAATAATACACCAAGTACGATGGACTGCTCTTCGACGTACTAACCTTGAAGAATTGTAGGACTTACAGCAGTACGCCTACAACCCTTCTCAGGTTGACGCCCTTAAGTTGGAAAATCGTCGTTGAGTTCATTTGCTGACTTCCTTCCATCATCTATATCCTCGACTCTGAATGGTAACACGCCCATGACACTGTATCGTGGAAGGTAGATGACTAACAAACATACGACGTATCTGACCAACCAAGCGAATGTACACAGTAATTTGCACCAAAGATAATAACATTCAAATAGTAGTTTGAAACCTGAAATGCCTTTATTCGTGCAAGTCAGTCTAACAGTTACCACCCAGTACACAGTTGGCTTATCGTCACTAAACTGGCCATTGACTTTCGTCCCTTCGAACGGACCGACACTAGCATAATCACTGAATAAGACACGTGGGTTCATGGACGACTCTTTTACTGCATATGACGACACCAACGACGACTGGCTGACACCAGTTGATGAACTTAGCGGTGTATCAGAAGCTGTTGTTGTTAGATCTTTAGGAGGTTGTCTAACCACAGGATTATCACCACTGCTATCTTTTATTATTGGCTCCAGTTCAGTTTTAACATCTGTCGATAGTTGGGCTACACTCGGATCACTTACACTGACGGCCTCACGAGTATCCATATCTGCAGCAACCGCATCTGCCTTTAATTCTACTTTACGTTCAAGTTGTACAGAACCTTTAGTCAACTCAGTAGTAGTAGGCATTCCGCTAATCTCATTATGCTCAGCCACAGACAAATGTGAACTATCGTGACCATTGTCACAAATACCCACTTTACCGCCGTCTGTATGATCAACTTCATCATTTTCACACTCTTTAATAACAGCCGTAGATGACCTGGGTACTTCCTCAAGAATCCATAGAGGTTTTATATCTTTACTCTGACTAGTAATACCTTGTAAACTTGTGGAGTCAGAACTGGACACTGAAACTGTAACCTTCTTCTTAGGCACAAACTGCGGTGTCGTCTGAGCCACTCTTTTCAACAATGGATTACCAGTTACGACTACAGGCTTCTTCACCGCACCATTATCGTCATAAGATTCGGAGTCAGAACACCATGACGCTGACTTCACATTTAGCTTACCACTAAACTTGCTCATTGCTTCACAGTCCACCTTTGTATGCACTTCTTGCAAACGAACGAAGCACAACCGTGTTTGCCTTGCAGCTTGTAACTTATCCGTTGGGGACGTCCCACTGAAGTTGTCACAATCATTAGGTTTCCTAGAAACCATACAGGTTTCTCGATATCCACTACGCTGAGACCCCTTCGTCATAAATGATTGCATTTTACTCTCTGATTTCTCTATTCCAGGGGAGGGATGCAGTATACTAGCAAACTTGCTCAAAGCTTGGTTGACACTGTCTTTCACCAGGCTCACAATGTCATCCAACCTGGGCTCTAAACCTTCCTCCTCTAGACGTGAACAAACCTTTATAAACTTCCTTTGTAGATGAACAGGTAATCTCTTGGCAACAGTCTCAAGCACGGAACTTGAGTTCAATTCATCTTCGCAGTTAAAAGACATGAGTGTATTCCTATATACCATCAAATTATCCAAGAACTCTGCAAGTTCCTCTGCATTATCGTTCAACTGTGATCCGTTACCTTTCACTGTCTCGAAAATACTACGGGATATCATAAATGGTTTTCCAAACCTTTGACGTAGTATCTTCCTTGCCTCAGCATATCCTTCGTTCGGGGGCATAAACTTACAGCACTGTATGGCTCTTGCAGCTATACCAGTGCAATATCTCAACAAATACATTAACTTCATTTCATCATTTAATGCAAAACCACTCAGCATGACCTCAAACTCTTTGATGAACTGTGGGTAGTCGGCTGGGTTTCCATCGAAGTATCGCGGTTCAAACTTAGGCAATCTTAAACCCTTACTACCCCTTAAAGGTGAAGCGTGAACATCAAACTCAACATGCTGAGCAACATACATATCATTACAATTAACAGGCAACTCATCGTTACTTACTTTTTTGTCTGCTTCCACGGTGCCACGTCCCTTTCTTGACCCAGGCATTATCCGTCACCAAAAAATCCAAATTGCGTTGATAATTCTTGTCCAAAGAGAAGCTGGCTGCAGATCAAGTAAGTACACCCGGAAGATTTCCAGAAGGCGCCCACGAAGACTTGGAGAAGAATAAAAACTGTCAAGGAACTTAGCCCTAAGTTCCTATCCTAATGAAGACTTAAGCGATTGAGCCGATAAATACTATGAGTTTTCTTCAACTTTAAATCCAAAACACCAGTATTCAAAGTTTTTATTCGTATTTAATTCCAGTCTTCTTTCAACTTGCAAGAGATCGTTCCATTCGCGCCTTCGATTGCCTGCCAATGGCTGCCAGACCCAGTAAAACAAACGTTCAATGTTCACGTCCATTGACAACGATTGTCAATGAAACAGAGGAATAGAAGAAGAAAGGAAAAGAAAATTGTGAAAGGAATTTATAGTGTTAATGGAGGATTTGTTGGCTTTATTGTAGGCCAAGGTAAACATAGTGGTTGAACATACTTCTTCTGTATACAAAGATATGGTCTTTTGGTATTAATTGCAACCGCTTCAGCTACTGATAGAATACGCAGTCGAGCTCCTCTAGATAAATTACTAGGAACGCGGTAAATAACTGAGAACGCCTGGTCAAGTTTTATCGGGTGTCCCGTATCTACCAAGTGGGCTAAGACTGCACTATTTACGCATTTGGTTACAGGTGTATGTTGGTGCGCGCGCATGGATAAAGCCCTCTGAGTACGGCCAATGTAACTAGCTCCACATGAGCAGTTGAATTCATAGATGCACATTGATGAGGCCATCTTTGGTAATTTATCCTTTACTTGCTGTGTGAGTACTGGTTTAGTTGAGAAGTTGAGTACCAGTTTAGCTGCAGGAAATGTTCTATCTACTGCTCTATTAAGTTGACATTTTAGAATGTCAGCTGCAATTTCCCTAATGTTCTCATTGACCATGCATATTAAAAAACTTTCTGACTATTGTTCCATCCCATCTTATACTTGTTCCACAATACACTTTCTAATATGATTCTAATTTGTCTTTACTGGCTATTGTATGCTTAAATTAATGGATCTATAATTGTAGAGCCTGAAGAAGAATTTATTGAAAACAATTGTTCGCTCTAAATATTTTGTTCTGAATAAATTATGGGAATATTCAATTTACACAAGTATCTGTTAGATGTGATCATGAAACACGGGTTGTCCTTTGCTGACACTGACTTCTATCAGAGTTAAATTATTATTACTTAGCAACACTCGTGCAATTTATCATGTTAACTTTCTGATGTGGTATTCACGAAAGAAATAAACTCCTAATGTTAGATGGTTGG